GGGAGTAACTCTGCCTCTCTTAATGGTACAAATTCTCAGCTATCAAGGTCACAGGGAGGGAGGAAGCTCCCTTACTAGAGTATCCTGCAAGTTGTTTCTGGCGTACAGAAGGAGGCAACACAGCCTCTTTCTCATTATACGATACGCGAAAACATGCCGGGTCCTTGACCTTGGAAGCGAGTTTACGATATCGGAGAATAAAACATGCCAGGTGACGTACTCGATACAATTTTCCAATTTGTTGCCCCAAATTAACTTTGTTTTCTTTCAAAATTTCACCAACAATAGAATGTATATCAACTAACATTCGATCAAAATATTTAACAAAATTGAGCAAAATGTGGTAAGTTATGACGTTTTGAAAAATGATCAATATTGACTTATGACAATCGCGCAACGCGCGGCGTTCTGGCACTATATGTAGGGGAAAAGGAAAAAATCGACCGTAAGAGTCAACGAAAACTCGGACTAAGCTGATGCTCGAGGGTATCAGTGACGAGTACCGGCTACTCGCTGGCTCGGATGCGTGATGCAAAGGCCGTTACGGCCTATGCAGAAAGGGAGAATCGGTTGTACGAATAGGCAATGCCAAAAGCTATAAAAAGCAATACGTGAGCTCGTCTGGTGTCAGAACGCGATTTCTCTCGAGAGATCGTCGTTGTGGCTGTCAGTCAACTCGCACCGAAGGACGTTCTCTCGCCCAAGCAGCTCCATTCGGCCGAAAGCCCGTCTCGGAAAGTTGATCTTGTGCGATTGCCGTTCGAGGAGATTCGAAGGTGTAGGCAAACAAGTAGTTTCGTTACGAAACGCTTACCTAGCAAAAGCTGCCGGCAGTCGCTTCGTGCACTGCTCGTGTGGCCGGTCTCGGCAGAGGGAGCAATCCCGATGTCGAGACCGCGATGAAAGCTACCTGGTTGATCCTGCCAGTAGTCATATGCTTGTCTCAAAGATTAAGCCATGCATGTCTAAGTATAAACTTTTATACTGTGAAACTGCGAATGGCTCATTAAATCAGTTATCGTCTATTTGATTGTGCCCTTACTACATGGATAACCGTAGTAATTCTAGAGCTAATACATGCGAAAAGTCCCGACTTCTGGAAGGGATGTATTTATTAGATTAAAAACCAATGCGTTTAACGACGCTTTTCGGTGATTCATAATAACTGTTCGAATCGCATGGCCCTCGTGCCGGCGATGTTTCATTCGAGTTTCTGCCCTATCAACTTTCGATGGTAAGGTATTGGCTTACCATGGTGACAACGGGTAACGGAGAATTAGGGTTCGATTCCGGAGAGGGAGCCCGAGAAACGGCTACCACATCCAAGGAAGGCAGCAGGCGCGCAAATTACCCAATCCCGATTCGGGGAGGTAGTGACAATAAATAACGTTGCAGGCGCCAACGGCTTCTGCAGTCGGAATGAGTACAATATAACACCCTTAACGAGGAACAATTGGAGGGCAAGTCTGGTGCCAGCAGCCGCGGTAATTCCAGCTCCAATAGCGTATATTAAAGTTGTTGCAGTTAAAAAGCTCGTAGTTGGATTTCGGAACCGGCCGATTGGTCCGTCCTCTGGATCGTGTACTGATCGGTCTGTTCTTCTTCGCGAAGACCGCGTGTGCCCTTAACTGGGTGGGCGCGGGATTCGCGATTGTAGGACTGAATCCCTACCGGACGGAATCACTACCACGCAAATATCACTACTGGTAGTGATTCAGTCCGGTAGTGATTCAGTCCTAAAATATACCTCAATCCCTACCAGTTGATCTTAGTTCACTAGTCTAATATCATGACGTGATCTGAGCCGGTGCTCTCATGGAGTGCTTGCTATGGGGCCTGTCAGACATGTGATACACAGACTTACGTACGCAACGAGGAGCCCTAACGAGAACTGGTTTGGATCAAGTCATCCATAATGACCTGCTATACGACAATACAGTGATGTGAACCTTCACATGCTCGGTATCTCAATCAGCTAGCGGGAATAATATATAAACCCGCAACGCCTGTGTTTATCTTATACCACTATGTCTTCCTCATCCATCGAGTTTATTCCTGGCAGAAAGAAAGGCAGCCGCAACGTCCTCTACGATGGTCACCTCTACCACCTTAACAGAAAGAGGGAAGACAAGACCTACTGGAAGTGCAACAAGTGCAAGTCCCGCCTGATCCTTGTCCAGGACACCTTCTGTTCTGCTACCCCTCATGACCACGAATCTCAACCAGCAGAAATTGCAGCCCACCGCTCCAAGTCTAAAATGAAGACCCTCGCAGCTACTACTGAGAACTCAACTAAGCAGATTGTTGCAGACTCTGTCGCTGGACTATCCTTCGAAGCCTCGTCCCGGCTCAACTGTGATCCCAAGTCCTTGGCACGACTAGTCAGACGAGCCAGAATGGCAGCCTACTCCCATCCTGTCAACCCCATCTCCTTAGAAGACCTGGTGATTCCTCCTAACTACCTGACCTCTCCCGGTGGTGACACTATGTTGCTCTGGGACTCCTCCTACGACACCAACACCAGAAGATCTATCCTCCTTGGTACTGCAGACAACATCAACATCATCTATCAGTCAGATCACCTCGTCGTGGATGGAACCTTTAAGACCTCTCCAGACCTGTTTACTCAACTCTTCACAGTCCACGCCTTACACCCTACTGGATGGAGAATCCCTGCAGCCTTTGGACTCCTACCCGGGAAGCGCACCATCATGTACGAGAACATCCTCAACGAACTGGACTCCTACGGACCCTTCTACCCTCAGTCGGTGCTGGTGGACTATGAAATAATTATGCCTTTATTGCAAAGTTCAGTAGGGATCACATCAAAGTGGTTGGGTTTAGATATTAGCGGTAGTGATTCAGTCCGGTAGTGATTTAGTCCTAAAATATACCTCAATCCCTACCAATAGTGATTGGTAGTGATTCAGTCCGTTAGGGATTCAGTCATGTAGTGATTCGGTCCGTTCACCGGGATTCGCGACGTTTACTTTGAAAAAATTAGAGTGTTCAAAGCAGGCAGTCGCTTGAATATCTCAGCATGGAATAATAGAATAGGACTTTGGTCTTATTTTGTTGGTTTCCGAGACCGAAGTAATGATTAATAGGGACAGTTGGGGGCATTCGTATTTCATTGTCAGAGGTGAAATTCTTGGATTTATGAAAGACGAACTTCTGCGAAAGCATTCATCAAGAACGAAAGTTGGAGGCTCGAAGACGATCAGATACCGTCCTAGTTCCAACCATAAACGATGCCGTCTGCGGATCGGAGGTCGCTCATGTAAGGCTCCTTCGGCACGCTATGAGAAATCAAAGACTTCGGGTTCCGGGGGGAGTATGTTCGCAAGAATGAAACTTAAAGGAATTGACGGAAGGGCACCACCAGGAGTGGAACCTGCGGTTTAATTTGACTCAACACGGGAAAACTCACCAGGTCCAGACATAGGAAGGATTGACAGATTGAGAGCTCTTTCTTGATTCTATGGGTGGTGGTGCATGGCCGTTCTTAGTTGGTGGAGTGATTTGTCTGGTTAATTCCGTTAACGAACGAGACCTTAACCTGCTAAATAGTGACACGGTTCTTTGAACCGTGGCTCACTTCTTAGAGGGACTATCGGTTTCAAACCGATGGAAGTTTGAGGCAATAACAGGTCTGTGATGCCCTTAGATGTTCTGGTCATAGATCAGACAAGGCTGGTCGGTCGGAGGTCGGTCGGAGGTCGACCGGGCGCCGGTCGGCGGTAGGTGAACGCCGGTCGGAGGTCGGTCGGAGGTTGGTCGGAGGTCGATCGGGCGCCGGTCGGGCGCCGGTCGGGCGCCGGTCGAGCGCCGGTCGGAGGTCGATCGGAGGTCGGTCGGCGGTCGGTCGGAGGTCGGTCGGAGGTCGGTCGGAGGTCGGTCGGAGGTCGGTCGGGCGCCGGTCGGAGGTCGGTCGGAGGTCGGTCGGAGGTCGGTCGGAGGTCGGTCGGAGGTCGGTCGGGCGATTAGTCAGTTAATTGATGATGGTATGAAACCAAATTGGGGTACTGGAAATCAAAATCTCGAAAAAAATTGGAAAATCATACTGTCCCATACTCTGTCCCATTTTCAGTTTTTGGAGCTGAAATTTCCAAGGCCAAAATTTTACAGTTTCGGCCGAATTTCTGACTTGCAACCAATTAGTCAGTCAACTATAGATACCAAATGACACGATTGAAGTGCTGGAAGTTTGATTCAGGTCGGAGGAAGCTAACAGCAGAAATCTTAACAAAACGAAAAGTTGTATTTTCAAAACTCTGTCCCATTTTCAGATATGAAAATTTCTGAACACACATTTGACAGATTGGATGAAATGTTTGCCCACAAACCAATTAGTCAGTTAATTGATGATGGTATGAAACCAAATTGGGGTACTGGAAATCAAAATCTCGAAAAAAATTGGAAAAATCATACTGTCCCATACTCTGTCCCATTTTCAGTTTTTGGAGCTGAAATTTCCAGAACCGAAATTTTACAGTTTCGGCCGGATTTCTGACATGCAACCAATTAGTCAGTCAACTATAGATGCCAAATGACACGATTGAGGTGCTGGAAGTTTGATTCGGGTAGGAGGAACCTAACAGCAGAAATCTTAACAAAACGAAAAGTTGTATTTTCGAAACTCTGTCCCATTTTCAAATATGACATTTTCTGAACACAAATTTGACAGATTAGATGAAATTTTTACCCAGAAACCAATTAGTTAGTTAATTGATGATAGTATGAAACCAAATTGGGGTACTGGAAGTCAAAATCCCGAATAAAATTGTAAAATCATATTGTCCCAATCTCTGTCCCATTTTCAGTTTTTGAAGATGAAATTTCCACGACCAAAACCAATTAGTCAGTTAAATGATTGGTATAAAACCAAATTGAGGACTGGAAGTCATAATGCCGGGTCAGGGGGGGGGGGGGGGGGGGGGCAGCACATAAGTATGTTTCGCCACTGGGAGTGGGTAATAGTCACAGCTAAACAATGCATCTAACTTTGTAAAACAAAAATAAACTTCATAAACAAGTAGAGTTCCAATTAATAATTTATATCGGACAGCGTAACGGTGAATTTGTTGGGTTTAAATCCTCCTGTTTAGGGTGAAAGTGACTGTTCCACAATCTGATGGCAACAAAAATCAAAAGTGGTCAACGGTTTAACTCTGCATATTAGAAATTACTTGAGATTCGACGTGACATGACGTTAAAAGCAAGGTTCAGTCAATGAAAACATAGCAAGAGACCATGGCCATTAATGAAGTTGATCGCTAATCAAAGTTTAAATGTATTGTACAAATTTTCGCAAAACATTGGGAATTTTCCTGCCACATCTTGTCCCTTTAAGTCACACCGCACAAAACAGAACGGTGTTACACGTTAATAATTTATTAGAATTATATGCAGAACTAGCTCTTAACCCAATCTCACATTTTCAAATTCTCAATTTTATAATTTATTCCAGTTAAAACTGCTTCAGCAGCATTTGAGAATCGTAGTTGATTTAATGGCCAACAAGAACTTCTTGAAGAACCTTGACATCGTTGGCATTGCAAGATTGAGCGGGCGGGTCAATACTCAATAGCACTTGTTACCATAGCAACAATAATAACATTCTTTCTCATACAAAATCTCATTATAAACAACATCCACAAAATGGGTAAGAAACGTTTATTAATATACTGTATAAACAATAAACATATTCACGAAAAGTTAGGGGAAAACGTATCAAGTCACGTCAATTTAAGGCGAAAATAACATGTAAGGTAACCAAATAATTATAATACAACTTTTAGGACGAGTATGTAAGTTGTGCCAGTTTCGTTGCTTGACTACGAAACTAAAACTTCGTCTTATATTGTTAGAATTTTAGAAGCTCTATAAATTTCTCCGGATATCATCGTATGTATGCAACGGCTTAATACAAATTTTCGGAAGTGTCGATAACATGGAGCCATATTTGTTCATATTCGTTCACTAACGTGAAGTAATTTTTACTATCAGTAACTCCACTACTCGATCAGTTTTAGAAATCGGAAGTAAAATTTAACAATTTACAACTTTCAAAACTCGTTACCATAGCAACAATACTGGCCACAACCACAACAAGAAACTCCAGTCCGAACACGTGTTCCCTCATTGTCTCACACTGCATGACACAGCTCACCACATCAGTCTCTCCTCCATCATCTTACGTCATAAACCCGTTTCTCCCGTATACCAGACGGTTGGCTACAGCAAACCGCTGTAAAGGTGTTACCATGACGACACTTCCGGGTTACCATGACGACACTTCCTGGCTTCTCAGTGCTCGTTACCATGACGATCAGCGACTATAACACGTGCTCTCAGTCGTCGCTCTCGTAAGAACGAGTCACGTACGTAAACCCAGTAAACTCGTCGTCCGGGTCCGTTACACTCACACTCAGCTTATCTGGAGACTTTACCAGCGAATCTGGAGTAAGGGGTTTTATCAGTGAGATACATATTTCAACGATAAAGTGAGATTGAGAAGGGTCAAATGAAGGTGATTCCTTAAACTTACCAGGTACATTCCTTAAACTTACCAGGTACATTCCTAAAACTTACCACGTACATTCCTTAAACTTACCAGGTACATTCCTTAAACTTACCAGGTACATTCCTTAAACTTACCAGGTACATTCTGCGTAGTAAACTCAGTACTAAAGTGTTTCAAATCGAGATTGTCCTTAACATTGGGATCATATGGTGGTGTTATCTGCTTCTTTTCTAACAACTCCCAGTCTATTGAGCTGAAGAACGGATGTTCCTTTATCTCCATCTGATAATTAAGGGTGTGTTATTGGAAAACATTTGATTTTATAAATTCAAGGTACTAAAAGAATATATTAGTAATCATTCTGAATTTTAACATTTTTTCGGGTGATGCTGAAGTCTGAGAGCGAAATTTTTGCGAGCGTTTCACATAAAAACATAGGGACATCTAAGTTAACATTAAAGTTAGAAGTACCGATGTGAAACTTTCTGCTAAAGTATAAATAGACAAAGTAAAATGGAGTTATTATAATAAATGGAAAGTTAAGTAATACGAAGTAATAATAATAATGAAGTAAGTAATAAGTAAATTACCACGTCGCGAGATGATGAGCCCAGACGGTTGTTCGTTTGTTTTTGTAATAACTGAGATGAGAAAATGTCAGATGTTAGCGTAACATGATAAAAATAAACAGTCTCACCGTAATTGACCAAGATATAAGTAAATTCTTGGTAAATTTAAATGCTGAAATGGCAATTTCACACAACAAATAACAGAAAAGCAGGAAAAGACGGAAACACTTTAAATTTGGAATATCTAAAATAGTTCATAAGCTCACCCCCTCCAGTAGTTTCCGTGCGTGCAGCGACACGTGTGTTTTAAAGCGCAGCTGTTGGTACAGAATATTCTCGTACATCTGCCGCGTGTCTTTACTGTAGAACGGAGGCTGAAATATAAAGGTTCCTTAATTTCATGATAAAGGACACTTTCAGTTTTACTGTTCTAAGTCATTAGAACAAAAATGAGAAAGGAATTATAGAACAGAAACACTAAACTCGCAAATCCCTGATATATTAGACCAATTAGAATATAGGAATATTGACCAATAACCAATAAATATGTTAGTACCCCTCCCCCTCCCCCTCCCCCTCCCCCCTCCCCCCTCCCCCCTCCCCCCAGCCCCCACAAATCACTAACCAGTCCGAATATCATCTCATAAAGCACAGCACCCAAACACCACCAGTCCACTGCATTAGTATAGGGTTGTTTCTGTATGACTTCAGGTGCAAGGTACTCTGGTGTCCCACAGAAGGTGTTGGTGGTCTTGTTCAGTGCTATTCCCTCCTTGCAGAGTCCAAAATCTGTTAGCACTATGTGGCCCTGAAAGCAATAGAGAGTAACAATATATAACTATAAAATGAAACACATTTTGGTAGTGTACCTTTTTTATCGTGCGCTGTTATTACCGCACTCTAAAGTTGCCAAACTTCCTTTTCTATAAGTGACCCGACTCTTAGAGGGAGGTTCAACCTCCAAATTATTCTAGGAGATTAATTATTCATGGGGTTAGTCTAGCTCGCTAACTCTCTAAAGACAGCACTCAGAAAACCTTTAGAGGACAATAACTGCTCACAAAGAACCTTATTACAGCTTACAGAGAAGCCTGTATAATTATAGTTAACCCTTGTATAAAATGTAAGTCACTTAGCCCGTGAGGTGCCAAAATCCTGTTTATTATTCAAATTATTCTCCCAAGAGAGGCCTAACCACACTGAGCATCATTTCTTGTGCGAGTAAAGAGAATTTGCTATGCCCCTTCGACAGTCGACATGTTACTGACACTCATTGCATTTGTTGGCCTTGAAGGTACAAAGAAAATTCTAGAGATCCCGTTGCAGACTGACCAAGTTAGACAACCGATACTTCCTGTCACTGTAGGCTCAAGATTTGAGTTCAAAGGAGTTTACAAGACTGGGCACTCAAGTGGCATTCAAGCACGAGTTTTCCTAACCGATGGTGGCGAAAACCTACCATTGATATTGCTACTACGGATAAACTACACGAAAACACCTTTGGGGGGTAACTTGAACTACTTCTTAGTCTCCAGCAAGTATGAAACATATACGCCTCAGTAGCAGCATTAGGCTACGAAAAGCGGTACCTTTTTCCGATGGACCTGGTAGATGGACTAGAGATTGAGATCCTGCTTGAAGTAACACAGGATAACTATGAGGTCACCATCAACAGAGTAAAGTCAACAGAGTCCATGATAAATAGCAGGGAAAATGTGGAGTATTTCAAGAGCAAGACATTGACGACAAGAAGTTCTGACAACTTCATCTTCAAGACTGCTGTACAGATGGTTAATATAGGTGAGTTAAGTTTACACTTAACTGAACACCAAAAATATAAGTGAATTATAATTCTAAGATTCCAACTTATATGGTGTTGATAAATTGGGAACTTTGTCAATACTAATATAAGTTGCAATCGATATGACGTGATAATAACATTTTTACATTTTAACATTATGAACACAACTATAACAGGACTGAAAATAACGCTCACCTCTCGGTCGAGAAGAATGTTTTCTGGCTTCAGATCTCTGTAGATAATGTTTATGCTGTGTAAGTATCCGATAGCACTTGCTATCTCGGCTGCGTAGAATCGAGCTCTGAAAAGGAGAAAAATATGTATCAGTCAAACGAAACCGTCAAAAATGTTCTCCATAATAATTGATACTGCTATCATGATCAAGTGTAAATAAAAAAAGAGATCGGTTCATATACATCAAGGAGAACCGAATTCCTTGCTGTTATTACCGATAAAGGTACCATGAAATAGTGCTCAAATAAGAAGTGTATTATGAACCTTGATTCGTGAAACGTTCGTTCCCTCTGTAAGTGGAAGAAAAGTTCACCCCCGTTCACATAGTCCAATACAAAGAAAAGTTTGTCACGTGTCTTGAACGAGTACTTCAACCCCTGAAAAATTTCAATAAAACGATGGATGATAACCCCTTATATACCAGCTGTATTCAAAACAGTGTGCACTTAACTGTGTACACGTGTTTGCATCATTATAAGAATATCGCTGAAATGAGGCCACTTCTCATCAATATAATATGCTTGTATAGTAACCAGAACTTTTTTAAATTTTCTTTTCGAGAAATTACTGTAAAAATAGTAAATTGTAATAAAGAAAACTCAACAAAACGTATTGATGCGTTTTTCTTAACTTATAATACGGAAAATGCCTATAATTCTTACTGACCACCAAGAAGGGATGTTTGACGTTTCTGATAAGCACATTTCGTTCTGCCATTATGTGTTTTGCCTGGATATCGGGAAGAGAGCAGTTAGAAAGTGAATATCAAATTACGCATTTAACGAAATAAGATAACAAATAAAGATTCTACTCAAAAATGTCCGTGTCACAGTGCCTAGAATGTACATATATTATAGTCTCTTGTAACTACGCATTGATGGTGCACTTAGAAATTGCTTGTTTAATAACCGTTACTAACACGATTAGTAAAGGTTCCGACAGATTCTCGCTTTAGAATTTTCTGATCCCACACACAAAATATATCTGACAACACTTAAAAATACTCATAAAAACTAACAGAAATGTTTTACTTTTTCATAGCAGACATAACATTTTACCACATTTTACCACATTTTACCACATTTTACCACAATTTACCACATTTTACTACATCTAATTACTTTGACCCGCAGTCCACAATTCAACTTAAACTGTTTATAAACTGTTTATAAACTATAAATAGTTTGTAAACTACAGTAATCATCTAAACTACGACTTCACCAGTTTTAAAATTGAAACCACCAATTAATTGATAAATATATCAACTTATTAATTACTAATTAATTGATCAATTAACTTTACACAGGACGTCTTACCTCCTTCCTTCTCAAGATAGTTTTCTTATCGACTATTTTAACAGCGTAGTATTTCCCCGGTGACTCAGACGCTAATATCACCTACGCAGTTAACATCTAAACTAGCAGTGGATATGTAATTTAAAGGAGAAGATGAAAGATGTATTTACCTCGTTTTTGACAATGATCAATCGCTTCTCGAGAACTTTAAGAGCGTAGTGCTTGCCTGTCTCTTTGTGTTTAGCAAGAATAACCTAAAAACATGTAGTTCACAGTACGGTGATCAGTTCACACTGAATCGAACATTCAACAAAACCACATTGGGAGTCTTTAATAAAAGAAACAAATTATTGAAGATGGAAACTCAAGAGCCAAGTAAGTCAATAGTCATATGTCTTAGTTTGATGCACCTAATACAGATTTAAAGTCAGAAAAATTCCAGAAAGGTGTCAGAAAGATGTCAGTAGATTCTTAGTTTTGAACAGGTCTAAAATGATTTACCTTTCCAAAACTGCCCTTCCCGATAAATCGTATCATCTCAAAATCTGTATACTTTACACTGAAAGGCAATTGATTGACGACTTTCCACATTGATTCCAGGAAGTAACACTACATTTATTTATAGATATAGAATCAAGGTACCACTCTGAACACACGTAACTTACTTTCCCAAAACTACCTGTACCGATCACTTTTATGAAAGAAAAGTCCGACAGCTTAGCACTGCGTGATTTAATCGTTACAAACTCATAGGAAAGTTCGAGAAGCTTCTGGATTATTGAACTCTAATCCGCTTTAGTGGACTAAATTAAACTTAGTGGACTAAATTAAACTACACTAAAATGTGTAGCCGGTATTTGCAACACGTCACAAATTTTATCAGTTCTCGTGTTGAAATTCAATTAGGTTCAACATGAGATGATGATGACGCGAAATACAGGCAGTCACACCTACCTTTTGTTGTGTGTTGTACCCAGGTTGATGCCGTCATCTAACTGAAAAAGAGACAGTTAAAAAGAAATTGTCATACCTGGTGCTGAATGATATCACGATAATATATTGTTGGTGGTATGCAGGTACCTTGTTATAACGTGATATAATTCTAATCACACTTTTCACGCGCTGATAAAATTCCTTATCTTCTGTCACAGAAAACTTGTTAAAACTTACAAATGCGAATGACACAATATAAACCTACCATCTGAGATCACTAAAAATTAAGGCAACTTCTCTTTTTATGATTTGATGCACATTTTTAATACGAGTCAGTCAGTGTAATCTGTGATATCAGACGACAAACTTATTTAAAAACACCTTCAACATCATACCTCAGGTGTTACGCTATCATCAGCACTGAATCCAACACTGTTGTCAGCGTCTACTGGCTGCTTATCAATTCCAAAGAAACGCTGTACTTCTTTACAGGTCTTTAAGCTCTCATTCTCAAATAACAGTGACCCAAACTCGTTCAGACCTTCGGCGCGCTGTTTTATAAACGCTGAAATAAATAATATTGTGACTCTGTAAAGATTATGTCATGACTATATCTGGTATGGAGGAACCAATAATTTCCGGCTTAATAGAAGTTTTGTAGTGAGAGTAATTTAAAGACACGGACGTGACATCGATACACATACACAGCGTTTGGATGAACTAGAGAATCTTGATACCAAGAATTCAGGATCTGTAATATTCTGAAGAATTAAGATGATTCGATTGCACAAAGAATTCGAAGAATGCTCTTTAGTTTTGTTTGATCTGTGCACGAATTCAAAGGATCATATTATTTTGTTGTACTTTTTTGTGTACCTTCAAATCAGAATACAGCATGATAAGATATATTATATAGAAGCTTAAAAACGTGCGCGCGCGGGCGGCGCGCTAAATGTTTTTAACGCGCGAACTTGTCTACAACGAAAAGGAAATAACTAGTTATAAGAAACACACCCATATCACACCCGTACCAGGTGAAGTAATACTTCCTGCTGTACCAGCTATAATAGACTGTTGATTGGTTACTTACTGCTGCTAATACACACTCACATAAATGCACATATTTGAGTTAAATACTGAAGTGTGCAGTGGTACGGTCGGATGTTTACCAGAAATGTAATAAAATTCTGAGAATTTAACAGATCATTCTGAGAATTAAGTGGTTGACAGATAAGGGTCAAACAGAACATACCTGGATCGAAATTGCCAAAGACTTTCTTCCCAGGTAATTTGATGTTTGACATTTCGTGGGGATAAACTGATCTCAGCTGAAAATTCATTGAAATTATCAGTTCAATAGCACTTGTTGAGCGTTTCGTCAAGCAATTAGTTGTCAAGTAAGATTTTAAATGGCTAGATATTAAACAATAGAATAAATAATTCCAAGATACCGTTTGATAGAGGTCGTAGAATTCCTTGTACCTTCGCAAGACGTACCACTTAGCACCATTCTGTTTCTGTACAGCAACTTTATACAGCTGGAATAATGCCAAGTTAAAGTCAGTATCACGTACCTCGTTGATAAATATTGCGGCTGTTTTAGGGGGGGGGGGGGGGGGGGGGGAGGGGCGCCGGGAATACTCAAAAATGTCTCAAATATCATTTTTCAATCTGAGAAATTCAGCATGGATTTCTCACTTTCTCAAAAATGTCTCTCCAAGCTTCTTATCTTCTTATCTTAATACTCATGACCCCCCCTTCCCCTTGTTCATATTCAAGCTTGTTTATTTTATGCTTGCATAATGACATCACTATACCGACTTTACTTGAATTATTTTACAAGAATTGCGGTCATTGTTCTTGTAACCAGCACCATGGCATTACTGGATGACGGAACTCATACACTATTGAACTTGAATATCGTAAACTCTTAAATCACAGCTCAAAGTTAGAAAACATTTGTTGGTCACAATTGAAAATGGGATAGGTGATAATAACATAAAGAGTTAACCCCTATTTAACTGAATAAGGAATTAAATTGTACTAGCCAATTGGAGTACTGAGTAGTTGAAATGATCACATTTCCTACATACAATATACACGAGTGCATGAAATCAGAAGTTACAAAACAGGGCCCATTCTAAATGTCAGAATCTTCTTTAACTCATCACATTATCATCAACATACCGTTACTGGTAACGATCATGCTTGAAATAACAAATGACGGAACTCGCGTGGCAGTTTTGTGAGTTTATATCTAGTTCTCTATACCTATCACCCAGCAAATATTTGTCTTCTTGAATGAGAGGAAGGAAACAAGCAGTGGTGCAATGGATTAGCCTTTTTTATTTCGAATCTCGGCTCCCTACCCTTCAGTTAACTGTTAATAATAAAACTTTTTTTCTGGTTTCCTTTGTAAGGGATCTCGCATTAGAATTATTTATCTCCAATCACATGCCACTTGGGCCCAATGAGTTTTTCGGAAGCTCTGTCCCCTTACTCCACTTGCACTAGCACTCGGCGCTGTGCCAAGACCAATCTCCTGATTCATAGTCGCCAACTTTGTATTACTACAGGAAAGCTACCGGGCATTAGTTGGAGGTCCCTGCTACTCTGCTGATATCTTTTGTTCTCTGAAAGTAACAACGAAACAGCCTCTGACTATCAGGACTAACTAATGATTTCACATCTCAACTTCTTCTTCCCCCACTTTTAATAGACATTCGCTTGACAAGTGACTAATCTAATATAATGAGGTATTATATAAAGCAACAAGCTACACGTCTGTAATATTACTAAGTATAAGAACATCTGACATAATGTTACCAGGTAAATCATGCCCCTACTAGTCGCCAGACTGCAGAGCTCTTGTATCACCTACTATTCTGCCTACAATACTTTAATACCGGTTTAGCAGAGTGGCGGGATACTTCCCAGTTCTCATCAATAAAAGGAGACATTTTTAAGGACTTACATTTGAAATACGTGACGGTTCTTCGTTGTAATTTTTGTTTTGTTGAGTTGTATTGATATCAGTTGAAATAGGGTTTTGATGCTGAATTGACTTGAATAAGAGTTAAATAGAAGAATGGTCAAATCTAAAATAATATACTACATCTATTACACAATAATTATTCATACTGTAGCCGTATGCGAGTTTAACAATCACAAGAAGATGATAAAAATCATTTTAGCGGTTTAACAAGTTAGACGCAGGATACTGCACTGAGAAAATACTGCATCATTGGGGAGCCTCTCTAGAATCAGTCGACACACACACACACACACACTTGGTCTAAAGACTTGTGTGGGAAGGTAGTAAGTGGGGGTGTTTCAGTGTACTATGAGGATGACGAGGACGGGGGACCCTAGTTACGATGTCCCCTCCGGGTGTAAAGAAGGAGATACGGTCCAAATAATGACTCTGAATGTTGCCTACAATTAGGACATTGATGAATTAGCAATCATAGCAGGCGAGTGTGGTTATTGAAAAATTTACCTAGGCGCAAATTATTTGACTCATGAGATCTAGCAATTCACAAGTTCAGTTTATTACCATCGTTTTTGGGTTGGCAGATTTTACAGGACTATATTTTATCTAAACGGGTTTAGAAATAAGTTCACGTGGTAACATGTAATAGCGGACTCACTGTATCTCAACTCAGATAACCAATAAAGAGTAACATGTAATAGCGGAACTCACTGTATCCTCAACTCAGATAACCAATAAAGAACTGTATGAAATGGACACCCTATTCCTTCGAACTATCAATTATATCTTATTCCATCTAATCAACACAACTATATTGATCCTACTCTACAACTCATTGAAATCTACTATAAATCATGACGGTATACACAGTGCACTCTACCTGAATCTACTATAAATCATGACGGTATACACAGTGCACTCTACCTGAATCTACTATAAATCATGACGGTATACACAGTGCACTCTACCTGAATCTACTGTAAATCATGACGGTATACACAGTGTACTCTACCTGAATCTACTATAAATCATGATTCATGACGGTATACACAGTGCACTCTACCTGAATCTACTATAAATCATGACGGTATACACAGTGCACTCTACCTGAATCTACTATAAATCATGACGGTATACACAGTGCACTCTACCTGAATCTACTATAAATCATGACGGTATACACAGTGCACTCTACCTGAACTCGACGAAGAAACTACCATGACTTTCCTGCAAGTTGTAAAATATGGAGATGTAGCCCAGTGTCAGTACTGCTAGGTTCGTATGGTGGAGGTGCTGAGCGTGTTAAAAAACGATTCATGATCAGCAATCTGTTAGCGTGAAAACAGTCAGTTTACAACTTCGATTACACTATTAAGATGGGCTAACTTGGCTAATGAGGGGATTGATATATATAGAATACCATTGTTCTTAAAGTTGGCAAATAGACTGGTTACTGGTATTATATTGCAGGAATGTTAGACGTTTTCCATAAGTATTGTGTAAGACTGCTGTCCCTTGTCTTCTCTGATCAGCAAGTATAAACGATAATAGCGGTTGCCAATAAATCTACAGTTTGTTTATGTTCAGCTTTTGCTCATGGTCCACTCATAATTCACAAAGCATTGAGCGGAGAGTCCCAACTGTGCGGAAAACAACCAATATTGTGATTACAAACCCGCCACACTTATATTATGTAATATGTTGGGCCTCTGATCAGAATTTGAGGCCCAATTGTTGAAGCTAGAAGGCAGAAGCTAACAATGAGGTCTGTGAGCCATGCTCAAAGCCCCTCAACATGTAGGACATACTAAATGCTTTTAAGTGGCACCTTTCTGCCCCACAAATGGTTTAGGTAGGCAAGGTGTGTTCTCCTAATGTGAATTCTCGCTATAGCCCCTTTGCTGAAATAATGAGTGATAGTGGTGACAGATTTTATGATGATGAGGGTGGATATAATGATGATGAAACCATTCAAAAAATTTCAAATATTTTCGAACTATGTCACATTGACTTTACAAAGTTACGAGACAAATCTTTGCAAACCGATAACGAGGTTGATCCTAGCATAACGGGATCATTACATTATATAAACGATATACCTAGTTAACAGACAAAATTAGGCATCCGAGGGAAACCCGAGGTTAAGGTGGGTCACGACAAGATTTTGGCAAGGATCGTTCGTAGCTCGTCATTGACAGGGCCAGCATTAATGAGATTAGATGATTTGTTGGCGCAAGACAAGAGAAGGCCCAACTATAATAATAAATACCCACAAATTAGGAAAAACACCACCTCACAACAACAATGAATGGAACAGTAAGGTACTCACAGTAAATTTAGAGTCCTTAGCTTCAGCTTCACCGACAGTTACACTAGTCTCCTCTGACATCCTTATTAAGAATATTGAGGTTAAGTTACTGATTTTGTCCTGATACAGATCGTGAGATCATGGTAAAATAAGAATCATCGGTTTAGCCCATGTGTTAATCAGCAGTATGATGACAAATACTTGAGTACTTAAATTAATTACTGGAGGTACTTTATATCGTTTGTTAATAAGCTGGAAATTATCGGAAATATTCAGAGTTCTTGAAATATGTAGTGTAATGAAATAAATATTCTCAACATTGAAATATGTAGTGTAAATATGTAGTGTAATAATGTAGTGTAATAAACCTGCAAACTTAAAAGCAGCATGACTATAGCATCGTCATCGTTAATCAGCACTTTCGGTCTATAACAATTACTGATTGGGAATTGGTCCGTAGTGGCAGCCAATCTTTACTCAATATGAAATGATAAAACTATTCAAGTGAAGTTCATATGACAGTAAACGTGACCCTGAACGTGGCGATCTGTAAAATTAATGGACTATTTTACGGACAGGCATTTACAGTTAAATAATTCACAGTAACAATTAACATGATAAAACTATTTAAGGAATACAAGGAATACAAGGAATACAAGGAATACGAGGCATACAAGGAATACGAGGCATACAAGGAATACGAATTTAAAATCTTAAGTTACAACAGTAACTGTTAAGATAATAACAATTTGTCATAAGATTTAGATTTATAATGTTAATATATAATTTACTAAAACGAAAAAGAAAGATTTTGTGAATAAATATTTTGTTTACAGTCTCCTTGTTAATGCTTGAGCCAGGCCACTTTGCGCTCGTTGTTGCGCAAAAAGACGAGAAGAAATGAGTGTGGTATTGCTACAGTGTTAGTGCAAGCAAAAGCAAAATGAATTGGTACAAGATAGCGCTGGTACAGCACGATATTCAATGTTTAAGTGAAGTTTATATAAGATTAAACGTGACCCCTCAATATACAGTTTATAAAAAGTTGGTGCACTGTCTTGAGGGAGCGTAGTTACTAAGTTACAATTTAAAATAGTAATTATAGCAACCAAGGTTTATTTTGAAGATAAAATAAGCTGACTAACTCACACACGGCGAGGTGAGTTCTGACAGATTGTCGTCTTCCAGTGACTGGGCAAATATAACAATACTAAAAGTTATCAAGTTACCCTTTCCAGCTAATTTATCAGCTTTCAGTGGACAAGATAAGGAAAGTAATTTGACACTGCTTTGGGAAGTATAAATCAGCTAACAACAATCAAATATCTCTGTTTTTTTGTGTTTTACAAGATAGCAGAAACATTGCTTGGAATTTGATAGCTGAAATACACGTAAGGGTCTCTCAGAAACGATGAAATGCGGAAAATTCCCCAGCTAAGTTAATTTATTTAAGTTACTTTGTCTTTATTTAGAAAGTCAAATGCTCTGCACAGTTCATTATTTCAAAACAATCAAATTGGTAAGCAAAGGCACAACTTTCTAAATTTATGTAGTTGGCACTGATAATCGTTATAGTTTTATATTATATCAATCATGAGAAGATTTGTTTGCTACCAATTTCGATTGTTTCAATTGTTCTAAATTGTACATTCCCATGCTGCATGTTTACAAAATATCCATTAACTATCTGTTTATTAAGCTTAATCAATGAATGTATTTACGTTAAACTTACATTTCAATATTCCAGTGAATCAGTCAAATGGTTGGAACTTAAAAGCTCACAACTTTGTTACTTAACAGCACTTTAATTCTTAAAAAAATATTTGTGAATAAATGGCCACATAGTACCTCCTTATGTGACCTGATGGATTCTTTCAAGACATTCTTTGATTTTTAAGAGTAGACTAAGTGATAACAACATAAAAGTGGACGTAAGTATTGAGTAAAGCATGTTGCAACATTCAACATCATATTCTGAAATTGTACTAATTAAATTCAAGCTATCGAGAATTGCACTAAAAATTAACAAAATTTCAGAATATTAATATGATGATGAATGCTGTAACGTGAATTCACTTACCTTCATTATAACATTGTCACGGAGTCTGTTCAGAAAAAGTTCGGCATTTACTTCAACCGCCAGATGAACACTCGTATATAATATTTCAATATTCTAATAAAGGACCATTACTGCACACAAATGGTCAAACTTTATGTTCTACAACATAACAAGATTAAGTAAATCAGTATTTGGTGTAAACATTGACTGGTACTATGGACCAGTCCCCAACCAAAAATCAATCACCAAATGAGCAAGTATTTGGTAATTCCCTGAGAAAACTTTGATGGAATGGGGGGGGGGGGGGGGGGGGTTCTGGGATTAAGTTCTGTACGTGACGTCGGCTTATTGTAATTTTGGAATCTTTCAAAACGACCCACCGACCACCCTCATGGTAATAACTGTTTTTTCGGGTAATAATTAAGACACCCACCCCCTTTTGCGGGCTTTTTGCGGTACAAACTGTTGAAAAATCACTGTCCTAACAGGCTGCGTTTGCCCGCTGTAGCAAAAAGAGCCCGCTGTGGACATAAAGCTGTTTCAGTGTATACGACTTGCATGGACACAACATTTTAAAAGGTCATTATATTGGTGGTGATTATATGTACTGAAACATGTTTGTACTACATGACACATCATCCAAGAACCAGTAGTTGAAATACATTTTAAAATAAATTAAACACTGTACCTTCTCAAGTGGACAAATCAACAAAGGCCACTTTTTAAAGTTATACAAAAGATCAATCACATTCTGTATAATAAATATTATCACACTTTCGAGCCAAATTTGGCAGGAAAGCAGAATTGATATTACATGCCCCGATGGGGAGCACTGGCTCTCACCCGGGGGCATGAAATATCGATCAGTTGCTCAGAGAGAGCCCGATATTCCCATAGGAACAAGGAGCCCACTCTCAACAACAGTTCTACTACTGTGAGGTACTGATTTAAATAAAGATTTAAATCAACAACCTGAAGTTGTCTATGACCGTAAATGCAATGTTCAGATGATCTTTCCATGGTCAGGAAAAATTTATATATATATCTGGTTTTAAAAATATTTCCTTGCGTTTGAGATGTGTCAAGCGAAATAACATTTTTTGTTGTAAAACTTTTTCAAGCTGTTCCTTTTTTACTGCACTTCATAGTTCAAAGCCTAATTAGGCTTCGGATGATAAAACTAAGTAAAAACTCCCTGGCTTGTACGAGCTTAAATGACTTAAGGTTACGGGGCTCAAAAAATTTTGAGTTCTTAGCTTAAAGCGTTCTCATTTTATGAAGACAATAGTGAAAAAGAGGGAGTGTCACGCCACGCCCAATGTAATTGGGCGTGGCTTACGAAACTTTCAGGAAATCTAAGTTTGACCCATATCTATAATCTCTGAAATTTTGGTGCAATTTGGAGACGAATTACGTGAGTAATTAAGAGGTTGCGTGTGGGTAGTCACTTTTGGGCCACCCTGTACGTACTGCAGATAATTTCAGCAATTATGATGGACTAGATGTGTATATAATATTAACTGATTGTTGATATTTCATATATATAATATTGGTAGCAGTGGACAATTTAGGTTACCTCTGTATTGTGCTCTGCCAATTGCATTACTTTACTTAATTTATTGTATATAGTTTATATATAATACTGTTTGACACATTTTTCACTTTCTATAATAATTCTTTCATTCAAATTTCTGATTGTTTCTGAATGGACTCAGTGAAGACAAGTTCTAATGGAAATAAATAGCTGAATAACATATCGACATTTCCATGTCATATTCATATTCTGAAATAGTATTAATTCAATTATAACGATCAATATTTCGCTCCTACTAAATCGCTCGCCCAAATTTTAAGAAAATTCTTGTGAAAAGGCCATTTGGGTATGAAATGATCTGAATCGGTGTCTTTTTGGACGCTGATTCCGAATCACCGGACCCCCCCACCCCCCCCCCCCCCCCCCCCCCCCCCCCCCCATGACGTAGAGTAAAAATGCTTCCCTGTACTGGAGAGTTATGGGCAAAAAACCGTTTTGGTCACGTGACAGGCTAGTAAAACATGAATTCGATTGTTTAGGGCTCGGGTTAGGGTTAGAGTTGTGGTAAGGGTTATGGATAGCTTCGGGGTTATGGTCAGGGTTAAGGTTGGGATTAGGGTTTATGTAAAACTGTTTTGTACGGCTGCAAAACCATAAAAACCAAAGTCATGTGAAATTTTTGGGCGAGCGAATTAGTAAAAGCGCCAATATTTACATTAAAATTTGACGACGAAATTTATTTCAAACAAAATATATAACTGTGAAATAGTTATCCACTGTAAAAATAGTTTTTAACGAAATCTGAGCAGATATGAAGATAAAACTGCAACTGACAAATTTTATTTGAATTAGAATCTGTCAATGAAAGAACTATCAAATCATGAGACTCAATAACACTACACGGATCCACCAGATCTCTATAATAAGATGAGCCAAACGGATTTTCCGCATTTCAGCAATGGTAATTGTCTAGCTATATAAAAATAGACACCCTCGAAAAATGAATATATACCGTTATTATTAATTTAAAGCCGTCGACGAGTCCAACCCTGCGCGCGTTTTGGTAGGTTATAAACCTACAAAAATTTTGTGGTTATGACTGATTTTTTACGGATGATATTTGTTTCATTTTCTTCATCGAAATATTGAATATATAACCCGAGGCACGATCGAATCAACTTTCAAATAGCGCGCGCCGGGTTTTAGTCCATTGACAATGAAAGTAAAGTAAAGTAAAGTAAAAATTATGACATAACATCATTACTAATGTCTACAAAGTATCATCACACTACATGGAAAAATTACTATTTTTCCATCAAATTTAAAGGTAATAATTTATCAAATATTAATCATGAATAAAAACAACATTACAAAATTTAATTTATTCATACTTCCCAGTGGAGTAAAGATTTATAAAACGTTTCTTTGCTACTTGTAGCGCGATGCACTACTGGGTCGCGCGCGCATCAAATAATGCTTCTCGCAATCAAATAATGCTTCTCGCCGTATGCAGATCGGCGAGATGCGAAGGATTGACATCGTGAATCAACTTTGCTACATAAGGATGGAACCACAAATAATCATTGTGTTTTTCCTTATTACTGATATAACTGGTACCTTCAATTCTTGTTAAAACTTCTTTCGAAACATTCCAAAAATGAATTGTAGCGCGATGCACTACTGGGTCGCGCGCGCATCAAATAATGCTTCTCGCAACTTCGGTAGATCGGCGAGATGCACCACTGTGCCTCACCGAGCTGCGAAGGATTGACATCGTGAATCAAATATTTTAGCTTTCAGTTTCTGTTTCATTATCTTAAAATTTATTCCGCTTTTATTTTTATTCCAATCTACAGTTATTCTCGATTCCTTGCTAGCAGTCCGGTTAATTTAGTACCTTTAGTGGGTCTCATTTAATCATTAGCTCTAATTAAAGAACCTCTCAGTCTCACCCTCTCGGATTTTCACCGCTCCGTTCATTTTTATAGCTTTATTATTTTTATATTTTTGCTACACTTACTAACACGTGTGCATTACAAAGGAGCAATTGTTTGCGAAGGCATTCTAGAACGGTATATATTTTAGCTTTCAGTTTCTGTTTCATTATCTTAAAATTTATTCCGCTTTTATTTTTATTCCAATCTACAGTTATTCTCGATTCCTTGCTAGCAGTCCGGTTAATTTAGTACCTTTAGTGGGTCTCATTTAATCATTAGCTCTAATTAAAGAACCTCTCAGTCTCACCCTCTCAGATTTTCACCGCTCCGTTCATTTTTATAGCTTTATTATTTTTATATTTTTACTACACTTACTAACACGTGTGCATTACAAAGGAGCAATTGTTTGCGGAGGCATTCTAGAACGGTATATATTTTAGCTTTCAGTTTCTGTTTCATTATCTTAAAATTTATTCCGCTTTTATTTTTATTCCAATCTACAGTTATTCTCGATTCCTTGCTAGCAGTCCGGTTAATTTAGTACCTTTAGTGGGTCTCATTTAATCATTAGCTCTAATTAAAGAACCTCTCACCCTCTCAGAAAACTCCGCTTGGAGATATTCCTTATTACGCTCTAAGTTATTAATTTTCCTTGTGTTTGAATCCTGTCACTTTTTAACTGTTTTTAGTCTTTGTTATTTTCGGCCGATTTCTGCACTTTTACACTGGGTCATCTTCATAATTTCTGGGATTGAGACGACTTATATCAGCATTTAAGGAAGAGTTTGCTTGTCTGACTTACTTCATTAGACACTTCTGGTCAAGAACTGAACAAGAACTACATTCGAAAACTGGAACATCTGAATGACTCCGCAACCCAGGAATCAACTACTCAGTTATTATCGCTCAATAATCGGTTTGGTATCGACGTTACATACTTTATTATTTGAAAAAAAAAGCTGATTTTAGGAACCAGGGAATTAAAGTTACCCTCCTAAGGCTAACATTAAATCGCTGATTTTATTTATATATATCACTTTTTTTGTTCTTTCTTTTCCTTCAAAACATTCCAGTACATTGTGCAGAAAGTTGGAGATGAAGCCGTAGTACGTACATGTAGCATTGCACTGGATCGAACTTGCAGAGTGTGGTTTCCTCCAGTCTGCGCCGTGCGCTTATAATTATATAAACATATGCGGCGCAGATCGACTGGAGGAGATTGCACTGTGTAGGCTCCGGTGTAATGTGATATGTATGTACTACGGCTTTACAAATTTTGGAAGCAATAAGCATGTAGGGATATATATCTGATACCAATCGTATATACTAAAAATACTCTAGCACAATTGTAACTGCAGTTTTACAGAACTCTAAATGCTTAATGAATACTCTTGCAGGTACCACCCGTATTCACACTCAGACCTGAGTTTAGTCATTTTCCGATACGAGATTGGGGACGGGTTCTATAAACAAACAAACAACAAACAATGATCTGGCCCGTAACATTTCGAGAAGAAAGCGGCGCGCGCAGACGAGTAACATCCGTCAAAGAAAATATATGCTTTTAAAAAAATATATACTTTTTCAAAAAACATATATACTTTTTTATTATTATCAAACAGAGTCTGATATGAGCAGAGCTGTCCGGTATTGTTCTTTCCATTTTTAATTACAAATTAGGTCTATCTACGCTGCGCAGTGCCGCTAATGAAAATATTCGTTTTCGAAATTGCTCTTTCCATTCACCTAACCATGTGCTTTCGCGCCACTTCGGGGGCGCGCGCTACTGCAAGCAAAAGGGCTCTGGATAGATCAACTCTTTCCATACATCATTGCTCTAACCAGAGCCCTCTCGCTTGCAGTAGCGCGCGGCCGCCGAACTTGTGAAACAAGCACGTCACGCAGTACACGTATACACATGGCTATATGAACGGTAGACGTTAAAAACTAGTACGTGGAGCCGCGGCAAAGTAGCAAAATGCGCGGGCAGTTCTAAAATTTATAATGTCGCCGCGCCTCACGTCTTGTATCTTTGTATTATTAGACAACAACATCAAATTCACTGTCCATATTTTGTAACAAAATCTAAAATTTCATAATACATGGTGTTGTATATGTTTTAATATCACTATAACTAAAGCGGACAAGCTTTTTATTTTACAACAATATCATTCGGTCTCCTTGTCACTGTAACACTTAGAAAGAAACACGAAGATTGAACAGCGAGACAGGGAATGGACAGTGAGACAGAAATTGAACAGTCAGACAGAGAATGAACACCGAGAAAGATTGAAAGGTAAGACAGGGAATTAACTCTAAAATAGAGAATGAACACTGATGCAGAGATTGAATAATGAGACGGAGAATTAACGTCGAGACAGGAATGAACAGTGATTTAATAGTTAAACAGAGAATGATCACTGAGAAAGAGATTGAATAGTTAAACACATAATGAACGTTGAGACAGATTGAATATTGAGACGGAGAATGAACGTCGAGACAGAGAATGAACATTGAGACAGATTGAATAGTGAGACGCAGAATGAACGTCGAGACAGAGAATGAACATTGAGACAGATTGAATAGTCAGACGGAAAATGAATGTCGAGACAGAGAATGAACGCTGAGACAAAGATTGAATAGTTAAACAAGAAAATGAACACTGAGACAGAGATTGAATAGTTAAACAGAGAATGAACGTTGAGACAGATTGAATAGTGAGATGGTGACAGATCGAATAGTTAGACGGAGAATATCATAATATGGTTAGTTTAATATCTAATATCTAAAATGATTGCACGGCTTTTACAGTAATATATTATCAAACATAATCTTATCTATGTTATCTATATTAGTTTCTTTTGTAAATATAGGATGCCACATCATTGGCGGTATCTGACAGTTTCTTATATAATAATGCACGGACATCATCGTCCATCACGTCAAACTCGGGATCATTAACGAAGGAAGTTATTCTGTTTGAAAGCTCCCGCCAATCTCCTTTATATAGTCTATGTCCCGTTTCTTCTTTCTTTTATCCCCATTTCCTCCAACCTCATCATCTTCTACTTCTTCATCCTCGTCTTCTGATGCTGGATAATCGCAGCATTTGTTTACATCTGCATCAGCTGGCCATATCTCAATATCGCTTCCTGCAAAAATAATATCGGATTTTATATTTTGACTATTATAAGAATTGGAAGCAAAGCAATAGGGAAAACCTTGCAAACCCTGCGGAGATGTGATTTATGACTCTGATGGCAGAGAGTGACAACCCACTTTAACAGACAAAATTATCTTTGTCTTTCCAACCCTGATAACAACCAGAGTCCACACGGATACCTCGCCTCGGAGGTCGAAGTAATGCCCTGCCTTTGATATTGATAATAATATTTACTGTAGGAAACTTCATATTTTCTCTACAAGCAGGCTCCACACCTCCTACATCGACGCGGACGCACGGCCATAGCACATGAACGAGTTATGAACCTCAATTTTGTCTTGTCTATTCAAATTGGAATGTAAACATGCATACAGATCAATTTAACAGACCTTTATCTTTTACGAAGAACGGTATGTTTCTGTAATCTTCAGGTAGGTCCTCCCATTTCATTAAACCATCATCGATAGCTTGAAAAATATGTCTGCAGGGGATGTGAGTCCTGCTGAAGTTTCTGCAGGTGCAAGTTGGTCCTCTGATGTTCAGTTGGTGGGGCTCAGACTGGTGAGAGGATTTCACATGGAATACTCCATCAACGACCTTGCACACTTTGCTTGACCGTTTACCTTCTAAAATTACTGGCTGTTATTCAAAAAATCAAACCAAGAGAGAACACATAATATTTTGTCGCTTTATAATTCAAATTATTACTACAAAAAAATACTCGATTCTCCAGAAATTTGCCTTGCACATATAATGTAGTAAGGAGAATAACTACTGAGCTAAATATAGAGTAACACTGACAAAGACAGAGAGTACTTACTGTTCTCAGGAGAAGGAAACCCTTGGTTGGAAGACAGAGAGTTGATACTGAGTCGGAGAATAATTACTGAGGGAAATGTCTAGAGTAACACTGATGAAGACAGAGAGTTACCACTAAATGAGAGAGTAACTACTGAGGGAAATGTAGATTAACACTGATGAAGGCAGAGAGTTAATACTGAGTGGGAGAATAACTACTGAAGGAATGTCTAGAGTAACACTGACGAAGACAGAGAGTTAATACTTTAATACTGTGTGGGAGAATAACTTCTGAAGGAAATGTCTAGAGTAATACTGATGAAGATAGAGAGTTAACACTGATTGGGAGAATAACTACTGAGGGAAATATAGAGTAACACTGACGAAGGCAGAGAGTTAATACTGAGTGGAAGAATAACTGCTGAGAGAAATGTAGAGTAACACTGATGAAGACAGAGAGTTAATACTGAGTGGGAGAATAACTACTGAGAGAAATGTAGAGTTACACTGATGAAGACAGAGAGTTGATACTGAGTGGGAGAATAATTACTGAGGGAAATGTCTAGAGTAACATTGATGAAGACAGAGATTTAACACTGAGTGGGAGAATACCTACTGAGGGAAATGTAGAATAACACTGATGAAGACAGAGAGTTGATACTGAGCGGAAGAATAACTACTGAGCGAAATGTAGAGTAACACTGACGAAGACAGAGAGTTAATACTGAGTGGGAGAATAACTTCTGAAGGAAATGTCTAGAGTAACACTGATGAAGACAGAGTATATATATTATACAGCCGTTGTCAGACCTTCTCTGACATACGCTGCGACAATCTGGCTCAATGGTGTGTCCAAAAAACATAACCTAACAATTCTTAGCAGTGTACAGCGGCTGGGGAACATCCTCATAACAGGAGGGTTACCATCGACTCCTGGAGCAGCACTAGTATAGACATCATCACCGGAATCATCCCTATTGATCTGGTGATGGAAGAGGAAGCAGCAGAGCTCTCAGACTCAAATCCAACAACCAGTGGATATATGAGCCGATGGTAAACAAGAAGGGCAACCTAACCACCCACACAAAACTTAATGAACAGTTACTAAAGGCTATCAGTCTCAACTCTGAAGGACAAGATCAACAGACAACATCACTGAATGTTGACATTGGTTTCAACACAGAAATTCCCCGACTCTCTGAGTATGAGCTTATGAGGTAATCGAGAATGACACCAATACTATACAATGTTACACAGACGGCTCCAAAATGAATGAAAAAGTTGGAGCAGGAGTGTACATTGTGGACAACGACACCCCACATGTGAGGAGTCATACCACCAAGGAATCAACTCAACCGTCTTCCAGGCCGAAACCTTTGCCGTAGGCACTGCGGCAAAAATATTACGGGAATCTGGGACCAAAACTAGAAAAATAAACATAAACTGCGATAGCCAGGCGACAATAATGGCAATGAGCAACATCAAAGTCAAATCTAAAAGCACCAGCACGGCTATAAGTGAGCTCAACCAACTAGCAATGGACAATCAAGTCCTACTACGATGGATACCAGCTCACAAAGGCTACGATGGCAACGAAAAGGCAGACTCTCTTGCCAAAAAAGGCTCCGACAATCTGGACTCCGCTCAAGTGCAACTACCAATACCAAAAGTATTATGGAAGGGAGCACTGCGGAGTATAAGTCATCGGAAGATGAGGGAAAGATGGAGAACTTTACCCCACACTCACTTTAAACGAGTATGGAGACAAAAGTTCGCCAGATCAATCCCGAAACTTGGCAAAGAGAGCACAAGAACAGCAACACAATTCCTCACGGGACATTGTGAACTAAACTACCATATCAATAAGTACAACGGTCCCTAAAACCTGTCCACACTGTCTCATGGAAGAGGAGACAATGAACCACTTTATTGGTCAGTGCCCGAAATGGTCTTACCAGCGACGAGGATACTTTGACTCCTTCTACCTCAGTGTGACAGATATAGTGGACAAGTTCTCATTACCAAGGATCATCGGCTTCATACAAGCAACAAAACGTTTTACCAAATGTGGAGAGGACAAGGCTTAACCTTACTTTCTTCACAGATTAACGGTACCGGGGTAAGCACAGGGCTTCAATGCTCCATCTTATAGTGGTTTTGATCTATTCCTTAGTAGTAAAGACCACTGCCCTCTACGAAGAAGAAGATGAAGACAGAGAGTTAATACTGAGTGGGAGAATAACTACTGAGCTAAATATAGAGTAACACTGACGAAGACAGAGAGTTAATACTGAGTGGAAGAATAACTGCTGAGAGAAATGTAGAGTAACATTGATGAAGACAGAGAGTTAATACTGAGTGGGAGAATAACTACTGAGAGAAATGTAGAGTTACACTGATGAAGACAGAGAGTTGATACTGAGTGGGAGAATAATTACTGAGGGAAATGTCTAGAGTAACACTGATGAAGACAGAGATTTAACACTGAGTGGGAGAATAACTACTGAGGGAAATGTAGAATAACACTGATGAAGACAGAGAGTTGATACTGAGCGGAAGAATAACTACTGAGCGAAATGTAGAGTAACACTGACGAAGACAGAGAGTTAATACTGAGTGGGAGAATAACTTCTGAAGGAAATGTCTAGAGTAACACTGATGAAGACAGAGATTTAACACTGAGTGGGAGAATAACTACTGAGAGAAATGTAGAGTAACACTGATGAAGACAGAGAGTTGATACTAAGTGGGAACTGGGAGAATAACTACTGAGCGAAATGTAGAGTAACACTGACGAAGACAGAGAGTTAATACTGAGTGGGAGAATAACTACTGAGGGAAATGTAGAGTAATACTGACGAAGACAGAGAGTTAATACTGAGTGGGAGAATAACTACTGAGCAAAATATAGAGTAACACTGACGAAGACAGAGAGTTAACTCTCAGTGTGAGAGTAACTACTGAGGTAAATATAGAGTAACACTGACAAAGACAGAGAGTTAATACTGAGTGGGAGAATAACTAAGTTGAGAGAAATGTAGAGTAACACTGATGACGACAGAGAGTTAAAACTGAGTGGAAGAGTAACTACTCAACTACTGAGAGAAATGTAGAGTTACACTGATGAAGACAGAGAGTTAATACTGAGTGGGAGGGTAGCTACTGAGGGAAATAAAGAGTAACACTGACGAAGACAGAGAGTTAATACTGAGTGGGAGAATAACTACTGAGAGAAATGTAGAGTTACACTGATGAAGACAGAGAGTTGATACTGAGTGGGAGAATAACTACTGAGAGAAATGTAGAGTTACACTGATGAAGACAGAGAGTTAATACTGAGTGGGAGAGTAATTACTGAGAGAAATGTAGAGTAACACTGATGAAGACAGAGAGTGAACAATGAGTAGGGGGACATAAAATATGAAGTGCATGATTGTTGAATTACTCACACTGTAAGTTTGATGTTATTCGATGAACCAACAAATCTCACATAGGCACAGAATTTAGTGATCGTTTCATCGTTTGCAACACCAATAAAAACCTGAAAAATGGAAGTAATGATGTAATATGTATTATATAATTATGTAGGGGACAAGGTTACAACGAAACAGAACATGTTACAATCATCAAAAAGCGAGGATTTTATATCAAGATTAATATACAATGTAATATATTATATTTTATGTAATATATTAATATTATTATATAAAGGATCATAGCAAGTATGTTGAACCTAATCATAACAATTTGAGGTTTCAATACTTACGTCTTACATACCTAAAGCCAGTCAATATCTGTTTCAATGTTTCTATCATGGCAGTCCAGAGTAACTATAGCTGTATTCTCTTGCATGTTTATTATCAGTTTCGCATCAATGAGGCAGAAGGAAGTCACTGACGAAACGTATGCATTCAGCATTGCACAACTTGCAATGCACCTATTATGTTGGTAACCGTTGATGCTGTCTGTCACAGCAGATGAAAAAGCACTCGAAACAACGACCATGTAGCTCTTTCAAATTCAAGCTGTATAACTATAGTCTATAATGCATATTATAATATGATCTAATGATGCAGGCGAAGCTAGGTCAGGAACGCAGCAATGTGAACCGACGAAACCGGAAACAGGTAACCAAAGATCTCTGAATTCTCTGGTCCATTATTCAGTTCTGATGTTTCACACACATACCTAAAATGAAGTGAATGTTATGAACAGTTATTTTTAAAAGAATACTAACTTGTATTATTTTTCTTCCCAATATAATGATATACCAGTAGTTTGGCAGTCCAATATATTTTCTTATATAAGATAACTGTATCGAGTGTACTTCTATATTATTTAACAAGAATCAGCTCTACAAAAGAGAATTGGAGTTGCTAAAAATAGCAAAAAAAACAAATACATCTAAGTTGAGGTCAAACACAATGAAAAGTTTTCCAATGTGAAATTAATAGAAACATTTCCAATGGGAGTTTTTTAGAGGGTGAGACCTTTTTTAAATAAATTCAATGTCTAAAACAGAATTGCATATACTGCATAGGCTCAATAAAATGTGACCTCCAGATCAGTAAAATTAGGGGCGCTGGGAGACCTGCATAGAGTCCACTAGTATTTAATATTAGCCTGTACTGGCTCGATAAAATGTGACCTCCAGATCAGTAAAATTAGGGGCGCTGGGAGACCTGCATAGAGTCCACTAGTATTTAATATTAGCCTGTACTGGCTCAATAAAATGTGACCTCCAGATCAGTAAAATTAGGGGCGCTGGCAGACCTGCATAGAGTCCACTAGTATTTAATATTAGCCCTATATGAACATATTCACATAGCCATGTGTATACGCGTACTGCGTGACGCGCTTGTTTCACAAGTTGAATATATATTTTGCCGCCTACGGCGGTCGCGCTATTTTCATTAGCGGCACTGCGCAGCGTAGATGGACCTAATTTGTAATTAAAAATGGAAATAACAACCGGACAGCACTACTCAGACTCAGTCTCCTATTCTAGAAAAAGACTGAGATTTGAGCTGTTATTGACCATTGTTAATGGTCTGGCCAGGCGCGCGCTACTTCGTAGGACTTGCCATCGAGAAGAAAGCGGCGCGCGCTACTTCGAAGAAATTTAGACGAGTAACATCCGTCAAAGCTGCTAAGGACCACAGTGTTATCTATGCAGGATAAAATTCATTTTCTTGTCATCATGCGCGCGCGCTCTTGATTGACGGTGTCAATCCGTCGAGATCGTTGCTCTGCGAAGCAGAGCAACGATCGTCGAAGAATGCTAGTTTGCGCGTTACCTGAGGACCCCAGGCTATTATGTTCATTAACATATAAAGAATAAAGATTTGGCGGAATGACAGGCTGAGCGCGGCCCAGTAAGTTTGCGCGGCGCGTCGAAGCGGCGAAGTCCAGGCGCTCAGCCTGTCATTCCGCCAAATCTTTATTTATGTTAATGAACATAATAGCCTGGGGTCCTCAGGTAAGCGCTCCTACTAAATCGCTCGCCCAAATTTTAAGAAAATTCTTGTGAAAAGGCCCTTCGGATGTGAAATTAATCTAAATCGGTGTATTTTAGGACGCTGATTCCGAATCACCCCACATTACATAGGGTAAAAATGCTTCCACGGAGATTTATTGGCAAAAAACCGTTTTGGTCACGTGACAGGCTAGTAAAACATGAACTCGATTGTTTAGGCCAGGGCTCATGGTTAGGGTTGTGGTAAGGGTTATGGTTAGCTTCGGGGTTATGGTTAGGGTTAGGGTTGGGATTAGGGTTTATGTACAACCGTTTTGTACGGCTGCAAAACCATAAAAACCAAAGTCACGTGAAATTTTTGGGCGAGAGAATTAGTAAAAGCCGTCATCATGACGTCATCAGATTCTGTCAGTATTTCAGTCAGGATGGTTAGGTGAAGTTTCATTGCATGAACAGTGTCAAGTTGATTTTACTAAAATGCATCCCGAGAGGGCACCCATGTTTTCGTGTCGGTCTATCTTGTTCCGTTTTTAAAAATACGTCTGCAACATGCGCTTTAATCTACTAGTTAGTAACGCGCGAAAACTTAAACGCAAGGCGCCTTCTCGTACACGCCATGACGCCATGTTCGAGAAGGGGCCTCACGAAAAATATATGTTTTTCCGCAAATATATACGTTCCAATAAACATATGTTTTTTGAAAAAGTATATATGTTTTTTAAAAAAGTATATATGTTTTTTGAAAAAGTATATATTTTTTTAAAAAGCATGTTGATGTATTTTCTTCGTAAGGCCCCTTCTCGTACACCGTAGTAACTGTAAAAGCCTTGTTTAAATTGTTAATGGATTGACTTATATTAGTGCCGTAGTGCGCTTCAAAAAATGAAATTTAGACAAGTACGTATCGTCCGTCAAACAATGAATTGTAAGTTTAACCTACCAAGACTCGCGCCGGGTTGGAATTAAATTTAACGGGTGATACTCTTAAAATATTTGTTCCAAATAATTGAAGTGCTTTCCCAAAATTTCAAGTTGGTTGTTCATGCAATTTAACCGAGTTATGACCCTTTTAGTTTTAAGATATTGCATTATTGCAGATGCGTGATCTCGGCACTTAATCAGTCAATAGCGAACGAGAGGGATTGGCGTGCCACACCCACTGTAATTAATTAAATTTGACGAAACTTTCAGGAAATCTAAGAAGAATTACGTGAGTTATTAAAGGGTTGCGTGTGGGCAGTTACTTCTGGGCCACCCTGTAGTACTAGTCTAGAAAGAAAACGATGACATCTTCTTATTACGGTGATGGGCCGATAACACGACCTGGCAATACTCGTGTATTACCAATTATACCAGTCTGATGAAAATTAAAACAAAATATCTTGGATTATCTGAAATGTCATGGTAGACAAAATTACAAAATTGTATCACATTTTTCACATATTTCAATTTCATACAAATTGGATAGTTCATGTATTCGGTGTATGCATCATATTTTGTAACGTTTTAAATACAGAAATGATAATTGATAAAAGATGACATGACAAAGAATAATTCAATCGGCTAAACCAGAATAAATGCTCATTATTCATCGTCCAATTCAAAGCTATTTACTATTAGGTCATGAAAACGGAAACGGTGTTTGGGCTGTAACGGATCCAAGATCAAAACCAAAAAAATCGGATCAAAAATGAAAAGCTAAGGTGTAAAAGAATAATCTTAAAGCAGAGATTGAAAAGTCAATTATTAATCTCAACAAACAATAAAGTTTTCAGTCATCAATATTCACAACAAATCGGTCCAGGAATAATACAGATCGCGCCTAACTCTTGTCGAGTGCTAATAAGATGCTCAATCGACAAAAGCCTCGTCGTCAGTGCTGTTGAGATTTTCCATAGAAGGTGGAGTAGTTGCTAACTCTTTACATCTGCAAATAATTGTTCAAAGTTAGGTCTCGAACATCAAACAGTCCTACCCTAAATGGTAGTTTTCTACCCAAGAGTAAGTTCACAGTATAAATCCAGTAAGCTTCGAGTTAAATTAAACAACAGGGCTTTTTCAGCAGAGAGGAAAAAATGAGAAGATTTTCACAAATATTATGCGTATCCAAAATTCCAAGAGCATAGAAAACCAATAAAAGTGAAATTTATTTTTCCAAACACACGACAAAAGACTAAAAAAGAGTTTCGTTGAAAACATTGTGTTTTTTAGCATGCTGTGAATGTTTAATAATCTCTTCGCCTTATTTCAACACTCGATTGATTCAACGTTTTCGAAAATTTAGCCTCTAATTTTAGAATAACTACACATTGCAAGTGCTATGTGATATCACTATGCCCCGTAAGTACTTCGCTCTTTTTGGCCCTCTTCAGGAATGTTAACTCAGTTAACAGTTAATAGGACGACCGTCGACCAGATCAGGCGGGTATAGGACACAAGGGCGGTACTTACCTAAAAGGGTGGACACGAAGGCGGACGAGTAGGTCACTAGGGCTGATTACATGACTCACTTCAACATGGACACGAGGGCGGAATCAAACACCGTCCTAAATGATGAACTAGTAATTTTAAATTTTCATACGCCCTCGTGCCCTTCACCCTTGTGTCTTCCACCCTCGTGTCCGTTTACCGATTGGGGTTGTATGAATTTAACTTACTTATTATATATGAGGGGTAAAAGTAATATAATGTTTTTTACATTTCCAAAGAAATGAGAAGTCCAAACCTAATTAGAGGCGGTATTAATTGTACACATGTCCCAGGAACAGACTAACTCAAACTGTGACTTTTAAAGGATCTCGTTATCCACTTGTAACACAATTCACTTCAGCGAGAACTTCAGCCTAGCCCCTGTTAGGTCCTTAGTTGACTAATACGTCAAGTAGGTGAAGCTCATCAGAAGAGGGACATGACTTTAACATGGTAACGTGCGCTCGCACGCCGACATTTCAGAATATACACTCTCCCCTCTTTTCGAGATCTTATTCGCCACTGAACCATCTTTTCTCTTGAGTGAGTGATTAAAATACCAATGACCCCTCTCTAATTCTCCACCGGCCACCTCCCTGGCCCTCCCTTAACGTCCTGTTATCTGACCATTTCACCAGTCACCACTGCAGGGTCTTACCAATCTCTAATGTACAGTATACAGTATGCAATGTACATGATAGTAATATACACAATATTTTGTCAGCAACTCAGGAGAGAGATTGTCACACTCTGCACTGCATCACAATAACTCACAACACATTGAGAAGCTGTTCTGTTACAGAAACAGAGTCGGTGTCTGTTTTGCAACATCTCATCGCACGAGAGTGAGAATATTTTAATGATCTGGGGTTATGTTTTAGCTGAAAGTCTTGTAGCCGATCTATCCCTGACATTAATACCTCAGACTGTACATTTTTATGAGTTATGCGCTGCTAGTGTAGCTATAACAAATACCTTACACTGTTAAATCTGATTAACGGAGTAGGAACACTGACCTGCTCATACAAGGTTCCGAGGTGCTGCGAGTCAGCTTTGGTAAGAATTGCTTCACTTTTTCTAACTCTTTAATGATCTGGGAATAGATTACATTTTACAAACATACACGCCACTAACATACACTACAAATTATTACTGATTTCGATGTCTCAATCATGGACAAATAAATTTAAGGTGGAAGGGATATCAGTAAGGAAAAAGGAATCAATTTAATCTTAGAATTTAATCGAACCTGTCTAAATGTTGGCCTCTCTTTGGCTGGTCTGCTTTTATAACAATTCAACATCAGTTTTTTGAGGTCACCGGGGCAATCTCTTCTGATCTTTTTGGGGTCAGGAGTTAACATTCCCAGGCCCACTTTGAATATAATCTGATCCTTAGTAGTGATATGATTGTACGGTAGACAGTTCGTACTGAGTTCGTATAGGACTATTCCAAACGCGTACACGTCTGAATAAATGGAGTAGGGTGAATCGTTTCTGATAAGCTCAGGAGCCATCCACAAGATGGACCCACTTGGCTGGCAGTTGATGAGCTGCTCAGAGTTACTCCACCTGCTCTTCACAGTTGCCAGACCAAAATCTCCGATCTTAACCGTGCTCTCGTCGGATAGGAAGATGTTGTTAGACTTGAGGTCCCGGTGGATAATGTTACGCGCGTGAAGATAGTTCATGCCCTGAGCTGTCTGGCGAGCTATTTCCACCAACTGGATCAGCTCGAACCTCACTTCCTCCACGTAGAGTCGCGACGACAGTGTGGAACCGTCACACCACTGAGTCACAATCGCGATGTAAGGTTTTGAAATACAGCCTACAAACAGCAGGATGTTGACGTGCCTTGTTTTCCTCAGGATGGCCACCTCGTTTTTGAACGCCTGCAACTGTGCAGGGGTGGGATACGTTACATTAAGTTTCTTAACAGCAACCACACCGTGCCAGTAACCCTTGTAAACAGTCCCGAACGAGCCAGATCCGATCCTCTTGTCCACGACCACGTCCTCTTCCGAGATCTCCCAGTCGTCGGAGGAGTAGACGCGGTGTTTTCTGTTCAGAGTGGGTGAGGGCGGTCCGGGAGTGGGTGTGCTTTCTCTGCGGACTGTGGATACGGACGACTTTATGCTGCCGCTACGTCGCCGTGGTAAACTCCGTACTTATTTATGTTGTACGTGACGTTCGGTTCGGATATACTGCGGGTCCGGGGCACAAAGTTATCGTCGGTAGGGTATATTGGAGTGTGGAGCACTGCGTTTCCGTACCTGCTGAAATATAATGTGATGTTAAACGTTTGACCCTAACCATAGTTATGCCGATGAAATTTTAACTGGATCACTGTAATCGCTAAAAGGAAGATGTGCTGACGATATAATAGGAGGAAACACAATTAGTTTGGAAAGGCAGGGACCAAGGTCAAAAGGAAATCGCGGCACGTGCAGAATCGCGATTTTTCCCATTCTCCGCGACAAATCACGATTTTTGACGTTTGCCGAGACAAAAAGATCCTCGCGACAAATTGCAATTATTCCAGTTCTCTGATGACCAAATTTGCGCATTCTCCTTTAAATCCGAGGGCCAAATATCACGTTCTTTGTTATTATATGGAACTAATCACATCCACAGCCTTCCGAATGTAGGTACGGACCGAAAAAGTATTTTCGGCTCATTATGCTCAGGGTAGCATGAAACATGAACAAAAGTAGTTTCTAGAAAAACTTTGAAAATAATTTCGATTTAGAAAATTTTCGGTCCGAGTCATTCTCGATAGGTACAAGGAAAGTGCCTCAATATGTAAGTTACTCTCCTTGTTTCTATATAAACATAACTTTTATAATAATTCTTACGTGATAATTATAACAATTTTCTATTATCACTAGAAGCCGCACAGACCTACCATTTACACACAAACCAATTAGTAATTTTCATTACCCTAATCCTATGAACCAGTTCATCCCTAATTCATAATTCGTGTAACAACATCATGAAGAAGAGTTTGTTTAGATCTTAACACCCAACACTTAAGATGATTAATATAGATGCTATTGTTTTTCCTGACGAGCCTTTCGCTCCCTAATCTATCTATACTAACAAGCTAGTTAACGAATTTATGACATCTAAGTTAGCTCTGCAAATACATTATCTTTCGCAAAAGCAAATTCACCGCGATTTTGCCGCCTAGTTTGACTTGTCGCGGGCCGTGGCGCCACGATTTTTGGCCTAAATAATCGCGATTTTCTTTTGTCCTTGGTAGGGACCGGTGAGAGACAAAGACAGAAGGGTTTCAAGTGAATTTAGTTCGATGGAAAACAGGTGGAGTAAGGCAAGAGTTCGGTAGTAGCGAGTATATTAGTGTCTCACGAGGAGCCGACGGTTGACAAGGTTGGGTGACGGCTTGTTAGGAACCGTAAGCTAACAGAGGCAACATGTATGTGGGGTAATAATTTGTATAAATAGTGCGATTCTGTGGTCTGTAATCTGTACCTTACGTTGTGTCTGATGATAAGCATAGTTGGAATTTATAGTATTCAATATTATGATAACTTTTGTAACTTTACAACAAGATTTCCAACACATTATGTGTATAATAGACGACTAACGTGACTAAAATGACTCGATTTCAATCTGATGAGAGATTGTGATCCAGCTTGACACGTTACTCGTTTGCTAAGATTCACCCTCTTTTGTTTTTTAATTAGATGTCGATAGTTTTAAAAGTCAATGCATTACCAACTTGCCTTCTGATAATAATGATAAGAAAAATTGTTCTAGATATAATATTATGTTTTTCCTGATTTAAAAAAGTAATTCTACTTTCTGATGTTTTTAATGTTACGTCATGAAAAACGTGTGACACTAAACGTAGTTATGGACAATGGACATGTTGATCTTATCTCATAGATACCAAATTGACGTACACAAATCTGATAGAACGAATAACGGCCAATGGTGCAAAAAAGTGCAGTGATTGGTCAATACTAATGACTCAATAGTGCGATTCCGCACCCACCGCACTTATATGTTGCCTCTGATTGCGATCAACCATCATATGTATTAAAATATAAAAGTCTTTAAACGGAACATTGTAGAGCGTATAACACTATTTTAAAATGAGCAAACCTCTCGAACTCGTCATTCTCCATGGTTGTTTCTTGGCACGTGGTAGGAGCGTACTTAACACACTTCTCGTGGTACCTTCCATTGCAGTACATACACCTGAGACGGACAAATCCGTTATTTTCTAATCCTGTTATACTCAATTTTCATTTATTTATGTTTAATTAAGTTAAAAGTTTTAAAGGGGCTGAGTTAAAAATTTCAAGGAATTTGCTGGAAACCTAAAAGTGTCAAATTAAATAATCTTTAAAGTATTTTTCGGAAACTGTGGACCAGGAGACCAGAGGGGGCTAGCTTTGCCTAGTGCCTCCCTCTGTGACAACTTTAAAAGAAAGTGGTACCGGGGGTCAGTGTGATTCTTGGGATTCCTGGAACCGGAAATCAGCTTTTTCATTTTGCCAATAACTCAAAAAGTAAGCATTTTAATGCCATGATATGTTGATCAATAACTCCTAGATAAACATGCCTATGCGGATTCGAACTTCAAAGCCATTTCGAAGTCTCTACGACCCTCAGAAGAAAAGGGGCAGTTACGTCATTGGGTCAATTAAGGGGGCATACACCAAACCTGTCCAGACCAAATGACCTCATAGGCAGTTCAGTGACCTTCTAGCGCACCGTTTCCACACCAAAAAAATTATTTTGAGAATACCTATTTTTGTAATCGAGCATTTCCTGGTTAAGAGTGCAATTTTCGGATAAAAATAATTTTTTGGTTAAGACGCTATAAGTTAATCATTTCTTGCGGTATCGGTTCGAAATTTTGCTCGCCGTTTATTCACATCTATTTCAAAGTGTGTGTAAAATCTTGATATCGTATCTAAAAAGGCTGGTGTGTTATGAATTTTTATGAAGGTATGTCCAAAGTTTGACGAGTATTTGAATATTTGCAGGACGTGGCCTACTTATAAATAGATAATTGTTTGATTGAATAAGTTAGTGTGAATAATAAGTGTGTTATATACTAATTAATTTGGCAGCGGTTTATTTTAAGATTCATTTTTCAAACAATTTCATTCGTGAGTCACGTTTATCTGTATTTAAGTTTACTGTTTGAATTATTTGTAATTTCTTTGCCAAGGAAACGTTCTAAGTTCACGAGGATCACAGTTTGACTCACAATACAGTGAAACGTGATTTGTGAATTGAATGATTGATGCTGCCGGCAATTTACAAATAATACGTAAGATAAGATATATTATTATTTGTTCTTTTCTGATGAGGGAGGGAGGGAGGGAGGCAGGGAGGGAGGGAGGGAGGGAGGGAGGGAGGGAGGGAGGGAGGGAGGGAGGGAGGGAGGGAGGGAGGGATGGAGGGATGGAGGGATGGAGGGAAGGAGGGAGGGATGGAGGGATGGAGGGAAGGAGGGAAGGAGGGAGGGATGACCACATAGGAGTATTTTAGGTTTGGCTCCTGAAAGTCTGCCACGAGCTCTAACACATACTGGGCACTGGCCACCATAAATACCTCCATGCAATTTCTCCATTCTGCAAAAAATATCTGCAACAATTGTGATAATTTGACCCCATGCGCTCCCATACGACGCAATATAACATATATGTCGAAGTCGCGTGTTATCTCGGATTTATCAGCAACACTAGGCCCGTTGAAAAGATTGAAGATGAAATGATTGATTCATCTCGGTCGATGTTCGAATGAGCCTGAAGTCACGTGTGAGGAGGGAACTCCTCTCACTGCTCGCAGGATGAGGAGCGGGCTCGTAAAGTCCTTCCACAATTCCACATCTAAGTTTCCTGTTTTTAATTGACCGTTGGTCGTAAAAATTGGTAGAGTTTACGCTCTGTTGGTTATTGATTTAAAGTTTTCAGTAGAAGCCCCACTTCCCGTTGCCATGGTTGTTGAACGTCAATGTAGTATCTATACAATGCAGACAGCTTCACGAACTACATCTACCCAGTGCCCAACTATTTGAAGTCGATCACAATATAAATGTTTTTTTTTCCCCAATTTTGTTATGGTTTAGGTAAGCTACTTTTCAATCAATAGGTGGGTAGGCGACAGTTTAAATGACCTTCAAGGCCACTAAGGGGATGAAATGTCTTCTTACGAAGAAGAAGGACAAACCGGTTTCATCAGATTACGAGAAACTGTCTAAAGGTAATGTTCCAGTATTAGTTCCTTTCCACTAACGGAAGTAAATCAAAAACTCAACCACACCGTAGCTTAGAATTCACAATTAATTACGAGGATTTCAAGAATACCTTAATTTTCTTAACTTTACAGAACTAACGAACAAACAAACCCTACAGAAATAACGAACCCTACTGAACTAACGAACCATACAGAACTAACGTTAGTTCCTACAGAACTAACGACGTGCCATCGAGTGACGATAATCATTTTTGCTTGCCTTGGAATGTACGTGGTGTACATGACCAAATTGTACCCCTCTGGATTTTACATAGACTTCCTCAAAAAATCTGGCTTCAATACAATCGTTGGTAAGATTACATGTTCGATGAACAATAATTTTCGTGATAAAACATTTCACATTTACTTAAGCTGCAATTCGGAAAAATATGCATTTGGATTTTAAACCAAGGTGACTCTTGTATTTATGATCAACACAATAATCAATAAGAGCTGCTCTTTTTTAGGTACTGTTTCTATTTCTGCAGCCCTAATAACCTCCCCCGCTGGACCCTATATCTACAAATGTCTACCAAAAACCATCAGAAATACGTCTCTTTTCAAAAGATACATGTGTGTGAGTATCTTTAACCTGATTTGCTCCTCTCTGATGGCCGTGGTTCGAGTACTGCTTGATAGGAACTCTGGAGAATCAGTCATTTTCGGGACAATAGCGTTACTGAGGGGTATTCAGGGGTTTGCAGTGGGCATACTGTATGTGGTTTTGCAGGTGAGCATCTTTTTGTTTGGGGAGCTGCTTTTTGTTTCTTTATCTTTTTTCCGAACCTGTGTTTAGCGCAGAGGATGTGATATACGGCACCAAAGATATAAAATTAAACTTATATGTTCAATGTTCATGTGCTACTGTGTGTTAAGTCCTGGTATACGAAATAGACGAAATCTCCGCGCATTTCAATTTCGTGGGGTCACGTTCGTGGACCGGTAGCTGAACTACCGGTAGCTGAACTACCGGTCTACCTGCGCCTATTTCATACACCAGGACTTTAGAAGAACTCTTAAACTTTCAAATCGAATTATTAATAATGCATTTCAGGGTGAGGTAATAGATTTGTATCTCAAGGGAGATAAGACAGCGATGATCTTGATAAGCAGCTTCATGCAAGTTGGGGCAATACTTTCAACAATATTGGGGACTGAGCTGTTTGTAGCTGGTGGGTGGGTATTAGTTAGTATTGGTCTGGCCTCCTTCAACATCCTTCCCCTTTTATTACTACCATGCTTAACGGACATACAAGTAAAAGAGAATCTTCATCAGAGAGTTGAATCAACTGATGAGGAAGATTCCTCTGGCTCATCAGACCAATGTAATAGTATAGGCCCTCAATCTATTACACTGTGGTCACGAAAAGTCGCTTTCTACTTTCCCGATGTAGTCCTATTCCTCAATAATTCGGTATGCGAACTGATCGGGTTTGTGCTCCCGGCAAGGATATTGTATTCTTCCTCCATTTCCCTTTCTTCAGCTGTACAATTACTACGCATCTTCAGCACTGTCTCACTTGTATCTGCTTTAACGTTGAGCTTCATTGCTGGTAGAATTAAAAGGTTTAATGTTGTAGTCACCATGGCAGTAGGAAACTTGTTCTTTCACTTCGGTGCAGTCGTGGCATTTGGAGCGACAACAAATAATTTCAAATTCTTGGACTTTACACACCAGTTGTTGATAGGATTGACGCTAATGGGGCTAGGGGAGGCGTGCCACCTTAATCTTTATACACCCAGCAAGTTTTCTTTTTACGAGAAGTGGAATTTACACAACATTGGTCTCGGAGAACAAGCTGCCAAGATCTACAATGTTGTTGCAAACCTCGCTTCTTGTCTTGGAACAGTTATCTCAGCCCTGTCGTTGTCGGACGAAAGTGAAATCCCAACTATAGTTGCAATTTCAGGACTTGGTGTTTCCTTAACGTTAGGACTATTTCTATGTAACCTGGTCAAATAAGTTTGGACTTACGTACGTTTTAAAGTGGACGATATGATAATTAGATTTTTTAAAACATTACACATAAATTTAATTGAATTTTCAATTTGTGCAAATTATTATTTAGCACAATTATCACATGAGTAGATTTAATTTAAGAAGCTGCCTCCCAGGCTGCTACTCTTCATTATTAGCCAATACTCTATGAAATTAAAATTAAAACGAATCATAGAATGTTTAAACGATTATCTCAACCCCATATAATTAACTTAATTGTTAACATTTCTAAGCCTCATAGTCGCAATTCATCTTAATTTATGCGAAAACTTATTGTTATTAACCACACTGTATATACTACACTGTATTACTACCACACTGTATATACTACTCAGTACTTGCCCTGAAACCTCTCAACAGTCCTTAAATATATCAACTGCATCAAAAACAGCCCATACTTCTGTGGGAAGTTGTGGGAACATAATCTTAAGTTCCACTTACTCCACAAACTACTTATCATCCCAGTCAACAACCCTCAGCAATACTTCCTCGAAACACCTTAATACTATCCAGTATCCACATGATAACTACTTACCCCAAAATCTCCAACACCAACTACTCGTCAAACACACAATCTTAACAACACCCGACATCAAAAATATAAGGGCTGTTCTCTCCTGGTGTTGGGATGGCCTGTGGTGCTTATCTCTTTTTAGTAACCCTACGCCACTATGTGCCACGACACTATACTAGTGTACTAGCTGTAGGGGGTAAGTCCTACGCGCCAGGAAGTGTGCATCTTGATGACTGCATCAGACCGGATTTGAACCCGGGACCTTTCCACAAGAAAGCAAGAACAACTCCTGATCAAACCTACCAAGATGCAAATGTTGTGAAATAACCCCAATTGTACTCCAAGCACACCCATTGAAACTCCAAAATCATCCAGTGCAGCAGCCTCTCAAACATCAACTACTCCTTAATTTACTCCACAGTCTTCAGTCTACAACCAGCTTCCAGTCCTCTAAACAGCCTCCTAGAAACAACCACCTGCCGGCCACCATCCCTACAAACATTTAAGAGTTTATAAATACCATGAATTCTTGTCTGAAACAATTTAAAATTTGATTTTTAATTGTTAAATTTTGCCCCTATTTCACACCATCCCAAAATCCAAATTTCTCGTTTTTTAAAGTAGAGAATGAATGACTTGTTCACGACTTACCATTATCCATTTTTTACGTTTTGAATTTTTGATAGAAATATTTGTAGATCATGAATACGATGTTGTCACATTGAAACGTTGAATAATTCCTTTTCTGATAGGAGCCTTTTCCTTGTTGCATCAAACGGGATCAATAGAAATTTACCCAAGAAAACATTTCAACTATGCGACTCATAAATAATATTCCAATTAAATCAGGATTTTACATTATCCATATAATCGTTATATAGTATACTCCGAAGTTTCAATAGAGTCTAGAAACTTGTCGTGAATTTCCTTTAAGATTCCTTTCCACGATCTTGTCGTTTTACTATTGGTTCGAATCAATTTTATTCTAGCAGTGATAAACAGAGATGTGTCTTTGAACGGCCAGGTAGCGCAGTTGGTTAGCCAGCTTTGCAATCGTGAGGTTGCAAAGGTTCAAATCCCACTGCCTGCCTGGTCGTGGGGTGAGTGTCGTTGACATTCAGCTAAGGATCGTGAGTGGTCTATGCAGCCCCCCGGTCTACTCAGCCGAATACTCGAGAAATCGGGTGTGAGGGTTAAATGAGGAGCTGCACATTGCAGCAAAGTCTCGGGCGAAGAAAGTATGGTACACACTACCTTAACCGTCACTGGCTAAAAACAAATCCTTCGGCTTCCTGTAATTGGCTGGTTGCACTTGTGTAACAATATGGCTGTTGGAATACTCCGAAGTGAAATAAGTGTCTATATAAAAAAAAGGGTGAAAGTTACAACACGATTTACGCAGAAGGGTGACAAATCCAGGTAATGTTGGCTCAAAGTTGCAAAAATTATTCATAGGTTATGCAATGAGTTATTAACATAATTGTCTTGATAACCTCATAACAGTTTGCACAAATAACTTAAGTCGATTAATTCTGCACAATCCCGTGACTTTAAAGGAGAAGTTCGCACAATTTAATTATGAAGATAGTGTGAGCTGAATGGGTGACGGAAAGTGTGATGATTCTTATGTTGCGACAGCCGACTTTAAAAAGAGATTCTGTAATTTAGCAGGCTCGTTGAAAAAATTGAGAAAAAATGCAAATTTACATAATTTTTGATGCAATAAAACTGACTATTAAAGAATTCTATTAGCCTCCTCCCTGCGACCACCGGCTTTCTAGTTCGTTTATAAAATAAGCTCTGAGTATCTAGATTACTGGAATTATAGATTACCAGGTTATAGAAGCTCTGAGCTTCTATAACCTGATATAAAAGCACTCACCTGTAACCCGTGAGCAATAACCGCGTGCACACCGAACAGGATGCGATCTTGAGGTAAGTTTTCCTTTCTAAAGTGTGGGGAGACGGTGAACCTCCTGTGTAGTCTATAGTGATCTGATCAGCATCTATGTCCTCTAAGTAGCTGTTCCATTCCAACCTTTCACTGCGACAATACATTATTATAGGATTGCGTATTTTTGACTTATAGACCACAAAAACAGCGAGTAATAAGCTATAAGCTAATTTGAAGGACTGAGAAAAGTTGTTACAAAGATACGGTGGTAAAGTTAAGTTAAGTCCGTGGTGACCAATACCCCCCCCCCCCCCCCCCCATAACAAACTTACAGTGTCAAAGTATCGTAAGCGTAACAATCAGCAGTCGTCAGATCTCTCAGTTTCAGACCTTTGGATAAAGTCTCTTCTAATGTCACGTCACTCTTAACTTTAACCTGGATTTACAATTTCAATAAGAGAACTTCAAGATAAAGGCATTTATAACCCTAGCAACGCTAGAGGGTAGCAATTATCCTCCTCTTTAGTACAAGGAGGTTGATCTGCATATCGATGGGAACATGTTTACTGTGCAAATTTGTACACGCTTAAGTGTAAACAGGAAGAAGAAACTTGGCCAATAATCTAAGTTATACCATATTTTTAACGTACGATTTCACGAGAAACCAATTGGTGACTGTCTCATAAACACTCAAAATATGACCGAACTGTGCAGTGTGCATATTAAGTAACCTTTGGCTATTTTGGCTAATTACAATTATGATATGATAGCAGCATATAGAATTATTAAATACTAGTGTAACCCGGCCTACGGCCGGGATTTCACTGCCGCAGTTAAAAAGGGTAGGAGTAATTACCCGCTGAGTCAAAACCCGCATTAGGTGACCCAATAGTTTCTTAAACAATAATCTCATAATCAGTTATTTCTTGTGGATAATTAAGTCATTATTAGCCATGAGGCACCACACTCCATGATCATAAGGTCTGAACACCGAGTATTACACCTCATCACTCCCGTCTTGAACCGCTTTCTAATTTTATTTAAATCGTTATAGAAATTAACCCTTGTTAACTCCGCACCACACCCGCATATTATATTTTAAAACACGCATAACATTGTCGTATGAACTCTCTCTCTCTCTCTCTCTCTCTCTCTCTGCAGTCCAAACAGACCCCAAACGCTAACAGTCCCCCCTCCCCTAATAAGCTTAAGGTATAACATTACAGCGAATCTTCCGGGCTAATCCAATTATGACGCTACTTAAATGCAGCTATAACATATTACACAGTAATGAGAGAGAGAGCAAGCCCCATAACTCTTGCCGTTCTGCTCAAGCAATTTTATGTAACATTTGTGGTACAAAACCATCAATTAAACCACTTACCACCGGCCGATTTAAAAAAAAATTTCCTATGGGCTTCATCAGAGTTTTGTCGGCACTATACCGAAAAAACCAGTCCCGTAACTATTACCGTTTTTTTTGTATAACTGTTTGGAAATTACACACAGACACACACACAGACACACACACAGACACACACACATTCTGGTGTTATTAAGTTGATTCTTTCTGGGCGACGGCTGTACCTGCTTGCGTCATCGAACACTGAACAGCAAGATAATGTTCGTCTGAGCAAGATGATAGATTTTGCAATATCTGCAGGATCGGTAAATAATGACTTGCGTGCGTCATGCCAGGTGGTTATATCAAACAAAAGACGCAAGAATAGTATTGGTATATCTATAACAAAAAAAAGCACTACTACGATCAACTTAATAACACCAGAATGTGTGTGTGTCTGTGTGTGTGTCTGTGTGTGTGTCTGTGTGTAATTTCCGAACGGTTATACAAAAAAAACGGTAATAGTTACGGGACTGGTTTTTTCGGTATAGTGCCGACAAAACTCTGACGAAGCCAATAAGCAAATTTTATAAAAATCGGCCGGTGGTAAGTGGTTTAATTGATGGTTTTGTACCACAAAATATGTTACATAAAATGGCTTGAGAAGAACGGCAAGAGTTACGGGGCTAGCTCTCTCTCTCTCTGCATATGTAGCGTATATATTACATGGCGTATATATTACATGGTCATATAATACTATAAACTTATTAGGGGAGGGAGTGCTCAAACGGTCTGTTTGGACTGTAGAGAGAGTTCATACTTTCATACGACAATGTAATGCATGTTCACAAATATGATAGGCTGGTGTGGTGCATGGTGTTAAGGGTTAATTTCTATTGATTATTGATTAAGAATTACTATCTTTTAAGCATACTATTGGATACGTGAGGGCACTCCGAATAGAATTGCTCGCCTAATCCGGGTTTTGACTCAGCGGGTAATTACTCCTACCCTTTTTAACTGCGGCAGTGAAATCCCGGCCGTAGGCCGGGTTACACTAGTAATATAAATACCGATAGTTTCTTCCTGATATCCACGGCAGAGCGTGCGTATCCGTACGTTCAAGGAGTGCCCATATATCACAAAATGTAGAACCGCGCGCTTCTTAAAAATCAAATTTATTCGTCTGTCATTGCCCGTGTGGCAATTTCACTTATTTTGGACAAAGCAGCACACATAACCTTTATTATCGATGCTAATATCCGCAGTTGTGTTACGAGGCCCCCAGAAGAAGTAAGACTGAAATTGGCAGTAAAGAAACGTGGTCAGCCTTCAATAGCTGGCTGCTGGCTGTTAGATAAGAGCTTGATTATATCACTAAATTCTCAATTATAAAAACTACCTGACGGTATGCTTAATATATTAATTTCATTGGTAATACGAAAGATAATTCTAAAATTACATAAAGCCAACTAACGTGAGCACTGGCCACAATGAGTCTAATACATTGCTATGATGTACATTTAGGACCTGAAATTGCACATTTGTAATCGGATGAATTAGGGGGAAAGGTATCTTAAGGGGGGTTTAGGGGGTATTATGAAGAGGGGTATGAGGGGGAGGATGAATTAGGGTGAGAGGTATTAGGGGGGTTTATGGGGTATTATGAGGAGGGGTATTACTGTATTAGGGCCAGTGGAGGGGGTATTAGGAACATAATACAACTGCGGCCACGGACTTCATTTCATTGCCCTGCACTCTGCAATGCTTAGAATATACCTGTTAGCAACACTTGGGGATCTATAAATATGTTTTTTAAAACATAGTAGCGACTTATGATTACATGTTTTAACACTGTTAAATCAACAGGGTGAAACCCTCGTTTAAATCTTCAGAAAAAAAGCCTTCTTCAAATATCATGTCTGGCATAACTGTTATTAGTACTTCAAATCGCTGTTAGTATTCGTATCTTTCGTAATATTATCTTAAATACAATCCTACTTAGTAGTTAGTGGTCAGAAAGATTACTTGATATTGAGAAGTCTGCCTAAAGTTACCACCTGCAAACTGTGCAGCTGTTGCAAAGTGTGCTGCAGAGTGCATCATGGAATCCCTGCAGAACTGAGTAATTCTGCTTATAAACAAAGAGCTGATAATTACAAGCAATACAATAACAGTTAGGGCAGCAGTTAGCACGCTTACACTTATCAGTTGTTTACTGTTTACTGAGGTTGAAGGGGATGGGCTGCTGATTTGGATATACTTATAAAGATGAGTAACTTTACTGTTTAAATTCCTGGACAGAATATATTTATTGTAAAATTAGATAAATAGCAGACGTAAAGCTATGTAATGTGATAAGAAGAGTGCTGTATCAAATCAATATTCGACATTCGCCTTCCATCAGCAATTAAGTTTCTTCTTATTTTTGTAAAACTTTGGTTTACAAATTTTAATTATATGGGGCTACACAATACATTTCTCCCTCATCTCTTCAAGTTTTAAATGGCAGCAGTTTTAAGAATCAATTTTGCACATCTTCAATTTGTAAGTCCCTGTTTCCTCACCCCCAAATTAAGGTCTAGCTCGCGCTAGACTCAATTGGTCCTCGTCTAAAAGCAACTATAAAGTCAATGAGTTGAACTGTAGTTGCGTGAAATATGATATGCCTATCTCGAAAAATTCTTCCCATGACAATTCGCCGAAGTCAAGTTGTAAAAAAGTGATCTTTATTAGCAAACTTTGCCTAATGATAAGGGTGTTGTTGTTGTGAGTAACCACTAACCAGCTGTGCTAAATGCATATATTCTGGTATACTCCGCTCAATTTTAATGTAATTAGCTAATAGCTATAATTAGATATTCAGATCAAGACCAATTAGCCTAACAACACTTCGTACTAGCCACCAAAGTGTGAACCACATGTTCTATAAGCTGTAGAGTACCACTAGAATACTAGCTCGCAGCTGTTGTGGAGACACATTTGTTTGTCTTTGTTACTGAAGAAAGTTGGGACAAACTCTAAAGGAGAGCTGCGAGCCCAGGTGATGTGGGACAGGGAAATTATTACTTTGTTTCTGTCTGGTTCTAGTATACCGTTACAATAATGACTAATATATGTAAAGAGGGTTATCTGGCGTATATCGGAATATTTCCGATCTAGTAGTAGTAACTCTTACTTACCAGTAACTCTTACTCACCAGTAACTCTTACTCACCAGTAACTCTTACTCACCAGTAACTCCTACTCACCAGTAACTCTTACTCACCAGTAACTCTTACTCACCAGTAACTCTTACTCACCAGTAACTCTTACTCACCCGTAACTCTTACTTACCAGTGTGTGTTGTTTGTTAGGGAAGAATATTTTGACGTGTCTCCCCGAAAGTCTCATCAGGACGGTATCGGTCTGGATACGAGGTACTTCCTCTGACTTTAACCTTTCCACCTTGTCGCGGTAATCTTCTATTTTCCTCTGTAGCTCCGCTTCTTCCTGTCGTTAATTAATTGATTAATTGGGTGCTATATAGAAAACGGAGTTTCTCTAGGTATTTAGTGTATGCTAGTCAAGCTCTAGTCACGTAGCACGAACGGCAGGGCGTACCGGATAGTAGAAATGAAACGAGTAACTAAAAAAGGAGAATTAAATAAATGGAAAAGTAATACAAAGTGAACGTCAACAGATAAAAACTTCCAAGTGTTCGCTCCAATCAATTGACGTGACTAATCACAAATGGTAGTGCTCAGTAAGACTGGCTACCGTCAATTTGAATCCCTTAAAATGATCAAGGGGCAACTCAGAAGTGAGCTCTCCACTTCCGGCTCTTCGGGTATACTCTCAAAACTCGTCACGCCACACTGCGTGACGGCACAACGCATTTGCTTGTACCACGCGACACGCCGTCTCGCCAATGAGCACTCCACTAGCAGTCACGCTGTGGTCGCGAGGACCAACCACAGGCCTGGCTGTAAGTCAGGTGCAAAGTGAGCGGACGGCTCGTTTCAGACAGTTAGTCTGACAGTAGTTCTGCCAGCCAACCGACTTACACTCAAATGTGTAACTCCCAAATACGAACATATAAAAACATTGGTTATTATATAATACCCGGAAACACATACTAAATTATACGTCCCGTAAACGTTATACTAAAACTAAGATATCCTAAAAGATATCTCTAAATACCATATTACAACATCTCTACCCAAAAATTTTTTTCGAATATTTTAAAACAATAAAATAATCGCCCTACTCAAAATTTAAATTTCAATGCTTCCACGCATCAAAAGTTCAAAACTTAAAAATGAGTCAAGCCTCAAAGTATAATACACATCCCTAAACCTGTGCATTAAATTTAAATCCTCAAAAACAAATACAACATATAAAATTGCCTTCCACAATCCTTCCAAAACCTTCCAAAACCTTCCAATACTTCCTTTTTCACCAAGTTGTAGAGTCTTCGGTGTTGAGTCTTCATCATCTGATAGAGATGTATCCGAATCTCTAAATCGTTCTTGACAAGCAAACAAAGAAGTCAAACTAAAAACGAAAGTTTCTAACGTTTCCGTCACTAAAGCAGCCCTGAACGGTTCGTGTTGCGAGTAAAGATCCTAATATCCCTATCAGTACTGTTCTGAAAGATACACGTGTTATACCTAAGTAAGGTACTATACCACTGCTAAGTACTAAGTAGAAAGTTTAGCTAAGTGAGTAAGACTATACTGTACTGAAACTAGATTCCAAAGTAAGTGTACTTCCCTATCCGGGCATCTCCTCGTCTTCTACTGGTTGAAGAGTTTTATAAGATCCGTAACTAGTCTAACGTTGTATCCTAGACGATCAGGTTGTCTCCGTTCCTCAGGTCTCCTAGTGTTATATCTGCGCTCCTCCCTCGGAGGGCTCTGTCTTCTTAGATCCACAGGAGAAAGCGATCCTGTTGTGTTAATGTCGTGCCCCACTGTATCATATGACATAGAACTTCTATGACCCATCGTTCCTTCACCAACAACCGGACTCGATGATCTTCTAGCGGCCGATCTTTCTCTAGCCGGAGTGAAGAATTCTGCAGAATTATCAACTGTTTCTACACTATCGCCTGAGGGAATGTTATGTGTGAGAGGTGTCACCGTACGAAAACTAGGATTTGTAGAATTCAGATCTAGTTGAGCAGGTCTATTAACAGCCTTAGGAGTTGAACTAAAACTAGGTTGTTTATAAATGCTAGCTGCACCATCCTTCTCCAGACGAAACTTCTTCGGATGAACCTCTCTTCTCCTCACAACTGGTGCTCTTCTCAGTTGAAAATCTGTCTCCTCTTCACTATTACTATCGGAATAATCTACAAATCGCTCCGATGAGTCCGTCTTTAACTCAGCTCCACTGCTCTTAGCCTTATTGTAAATGTATGCCTGAGGTGGCTTACTTGCTGTACACAAGACCCCTCTCTCTAGAGAGCTTACATCTCTAGTAACCGCTGAAACATTTTCCACCGCATCAACTGCTCCCGCAACTACTGATGCCTTCTCTGTAGTATCAGCCTGAGTAAGACTACAATTGCAATGGCGGCTATCAACTTCAGGCGTAATCTGAACAACGTTTACTGTGCTATGGTCATCACTAAACTTCTCATCAAACAAGAACCCCGGAATCATACTATCCTCAACACTCAACTCATTGCAAGATTCCTCGATCATATTACTGCAATCATCCTTAACCACTGTCTCGCTGCTAACCGGTACCTGCAGCCTCTTAAACAGTATCGGGTGTTTACATCTATAATGTTCACGTGTCACCCGGTTTACTCCCTCTAAGGCAGCTTCAAGACTAAAAGTGCAACTGCTACTAATGCTCGCTACATTTTCTCGAGATTTACCATAACCCTGGTATTTATAGCGGTTAAATCCACCACACTTCTGGTTTCTCTTCCCCGAGATATGATTCGTGGTAAAAGTACAGTTAGCAAGCTCCTGAAGCTTCCTGATGACAGAAGACGACACTTTCGAAAATCTCATTACAATCTCATAAATACGTGTGTTTTTGACCGCGGGTGACCTCCTCTTAAATCTAGGGCCACCCTTTAGAAGTTTAAAGGCACCTGACTGTTAGGTCTATACACTCTGTTCCAACTCTGTTGGCCATAACCACTCTGATATGAAGACCCTCTGTCTTGATATCTACCTCTATTACCAGCTAATCTGCTCGGACAGTTCCTCTGAAAATGTCCAATATCACCACACTCCCAACAACCTTCCAACTGATGGCGAACGTTACGATCATCATTTCTCATGGTAGCTTAATCTCACAAATACGAGCTATCTATCTAGATTTAACTGTACTGCGAAGCTTACAAACGGCTGTAAAACTGAGTGCTCGTTAAAACGATAGCACTGGAATATACACTATACAGGTACCACAAAATGCGTAGCAACACTTACCAAATCTAGTAGGAAGTACTGAAGATCTAAGTCAACCTCCACGTAATTCTTCTGAACTGCGACGTAACCCCGAACTTAGCTTAGCAAATGACAACGTTAGGATCTTATCGAAACTATACTGAATATAGGTGATAAAAGAAGAATCACGAGCGAGAAAATAGCAACACTAAAAGTGGCCTCCAGATATAGAAAACGGAGTTTCTCTAGGTATTTAGTGTATGCTAGTCAAGCTCTAGTCACGTAGCACGAACGGCAGGGCGTACCGGATAGTAGAAATGAAACGAGTAACTAAAAAAGGAGAATTAAATAAATGGAAAAGTAATACAAAGTGAACGTCAACAGATAAAAACTTCCAAGTGTTCGCTCCAATCAATTGACGTGACTAATCACAAATGGTAGTGCTCAGTAAGACTGGCTACCGTCAATTTGAATCCCTTAAAATGATCAAGGGGCAACTCAGAAGTGAGCTCTCCACTTCCGGCTCTTCGGGTATACTCTCAAAACTCGTCACGCCACACTGCGTGACGGCACAACGCATTTGCTTGTACCACGCGACACGCCGTCTCGCCAATGAGCACTCCACTAGCAGTCACGCTGTGGTCGCGAGGACCAACCACAGGCCTGGCTGTAAGTCAGGTGCAAAGTGAGCGGACGGCTCGTTTCAGACAGTTAGTCTGACAGTAGTTCTGCCAGCCAACCGACTTACACTCAAATGTGTAACTCCCAAATACGAACATATAAAAACATTGGTTATTATATAATACCCGGAAACACATACTAAATTATACGTCCCGTAAACGTTATACTAAAACTAAGATATCCTAAAAGATATCTCTAAATACCATATTACAACAGCTATTAGCAATAAGTCAGTAAGTTATCATTTTTGAGACGTGTATAAATCCGGTTTGTAATCATTATTATATAGTTTATTTAAGACAAAGGTCAACCTTAATCAGATTTCTGGCCAGCTCAGTCATGAATTGTTATCGAGTTGAAGAATAAAATCAACGTACTGCCCTTATTATCTAACCACTAATAAACAACTAGTTCTTCAAACGATCTAAGACATTTAACAATTTGTTAGTTTTTGCCCAAATTCCACGGGGAGATCATATATCCTAAAGAAGAACCAATCCAGCATGTATATTGTAAATTGTAATTTGTAAATGAATTTTGAACTCAAGTATACTCGGTTATGACATTAACCCGTTACAAGTATCTCTATCTTCTAAATGCACTGCCCCATAGGCCTAGGGCCCATACAAACAAATTTAGGCTGAAGATGACAACTTAGATAATGAAGATAGCGCTGTAAATTGTTCGTTTTTTCTGAGTCAGATGTCCAGACGACGATGATGATTCCGATGTAATCGAATGATTAAGTAATTAATTACATGTGACTACTACTGACTACATGACATGTTTTGACACGTGACATCGAGAAACCGTACAGCTGTTGCATCAATCAATTAAATCGAAGTATCGTTGTCAAAATATCCACCCTAAACAGATATCTAGCCAATTTTTTGTTGTTGGTGAAACACATTAAACAGAACGTAATCACAACAAAATATATCGAATGATGTTGCTCTAAATATCAAGTATGTCTGCACGTGCATTGCATTTGCGCGTTCCACTCTGATCCTATTACAGGTTACTATACAACTTCATATTTCTCATCCAATTTGCACGTAGACGAACATACAAACAGAAACCTCCAAATTATAAGGTAGATGACTAAATTTGTACATTACATAATTAGTATCTTTGTACATTACATAATCTTATTAGTGATGACTAAATGACTACTGGTTAATCGTTCCCAGTTTCAGCTACTCAATGATAACTTAGTGTAAATTGGGTAAATTTTACCGTCGTTTTGTCCCGGTGATGGGACCTGTGTAGAAAAATTTATCAGGAAGTTGAAAGAATAATTTGATGTATAAATCTTCAATATTTACCAAATGAAAACTCTCGTCCGCTTGATAAGAGAATTTGTCTTAAGTTATGAGTATGAAGGAGAAGCAAAAATTAAAGCCTCAGCTCACAACAAAGTTG